ACTCCGCCATTGTTGTGTATGTTTGTTCGCGCTTGCCTTTAAAATCGACACGTACTGCACATGTCTACATACCTAACACGTACTACGCACGCGCATGACGTCACCGTTTTCAAAGATTCCCGTTTTGGGTGTTTACACGGAAACGATAACGGTGCCGTTTTCAAAAACTTTCAAAAGTTTCAAAAATATGCGTTTTCAGTCCCCAAAACGCCGTTGTCGTGTAAACGAACAGGCGAAACCATAGACTGTATAAAAATAGGCAAAACGCATAAAAAGTTTCCCGTTTTTGGCTGAAAATGTTGTTGTGTAAACGGCCCCTTCACCAGAAAACCAATCTTAATCTGATGATCATGTAAACATGGTTCATATTTAGATTTTCATAATTTTTTTTTAATGATCTTTCTAGTTTTCCAGGCCTTACATTCTCTGTTCCAGTTTCTAGTTTCACCCCATCCGGTCATTCATTTGTGTTTTATTTGCTGTATTAAATCACACACATACACATGATCATATCACTCTTTTCCTATTGCTATTAATTTCCAGTATAATGATCATAGCAGTGTCTGAATGCTTTTTTTCTTCCCTGTACCAGTATGTTTGTGCTCTCTGATGAGTTTTTCATTTATTTTCTCCTCTTTCACTTCCTTTCGTAGAGTGCTGACAGTATATTGCTTACTTTATGCCTTGTTATGTGTCTTTTGATCTTTTTTATGCTGTTTCTCCTTCCAGTTTCCTGTTTCCTCCTTTATTTTTTGTTTTTAAGTGTCGTCCATGTTTTCTGGTTCTCAGTGTGCACTGCTGACCAAGTTACTTTGTTTTCCTTTCACTTCCTTATTTGACCCCTCCCCCCTGCTCTGATTGGGCCATGCATGGTGGGTGTGGTTTGGGGGGGGTGCTGACGCCTCGGATCCTTCACCTGTGATTGGTCGCTGGCCCCTTTCGTGACACTCCACAACCAATCGCACTCCCCCATCCACCCATGCTGACATGGTTAAAATGCCCCAAATTCCCCCCAACCCTCCCTGGTCACGACGTTATGCTGGCGCACACCTGACCTCGTTTGCCCTCGGGGCAGTTTGCGGACGACCAAAGTGGCGAAGCAAGGCCCCAGCACAAACTCTCCCGTTAAAGACCTGAAAGATCTGTCGGCCATGGACGCCTTCCGCTCCCGAAGCATCAGTGTGTCCGAGCATGCGGTGCGCAGGTAGAGCATTTTTGGTCACCTCAAAACTCAACAACCGATTGATATCCCTGCTTTTCCTTTTCTGTATGCAGGGTCGGTCGGTGGGTGGGGCTTGGGCATTCGGGGCGGGGCGTTGTCTTGGCGATGCAGGGTGGGCGTGGACATCTGGTTTGGGCTAATTCTGATTGGGCAGGAAAGGGTGCATGCTGGAGGAGGGTTTTGTCGTTTTCTTTCGTTTCATCGATGGTAATGTTGACTGCATGCGCTGAGCCTTGCGAGCATCTGTTTAAATTTCAACCTAACCCTGTTTTGTATTTGCTTTTACCATGCTTATTGTGCTGTTTGTGATGGTGGTTTTTTTCTGCGAACAAATGGCCATATTACGGAGTCCCTAAAGGGACATGGTGATGGGAAAAAAAAGAGACGGGAGGAAAAATATTTGAATGCTTTTGTGTTTGCCTGCAAAACTTCTGCGTTCCCCCAAGAAACTTTGCGTTCGTTTGCAAAACTTTTGTTTGCTCTCAAGAAACATTGTGTTATATTTCAATGGTTGTGCGTTCAATCGCAAAACGTTTGTTGCCCAAGAAACTTCGCAATCTTTCACAAAAATCTAGCATTCCCCATGAAAGTTTGCATTTGCTTTGCAAAACTTTTACATTCTCTTGTAACAACTGTTGCGTTATCTAAAAAAAAAATTGTGTGCTCATAAAATGTTTGCGATGAATAATGAGATGGGAGGAGAAACGGTTTCAGCGCTTTTGCAAGCAAACAAAGTTCCTTGTGGGAACACAATACTTTTGCGAGAGAAACATTGCATTCACATGCAAAACTTTCTCTCGCAAATGTTTGCGTTCCCCAGAGAAACTTTGCATTCTCTTGCAAAATGTTTACGTTCCTCTGATAAATTTAGCAAAAAACAAAAGCACGTGCATTGAAATATATCCCATCCCATATTTTCCATCTCCATGTCCCTTTAAGGGCTCTGTACCGCACACAGGAAGCATGCGCAATTGAAAGTAGGCGATTACACAATAGAGCGACTAGCTTCTCTGTCTTTGCTATTTGTTGTATGAGATGGACGGCAGTAATTCAGCTCCCAGTCACTAGGGGGCGACCTCCACGTGCTCAGCCTGCTGCCTCTCTGGGCCTGTTTTAATCTTCACTTATTCACACCATATTCACACACTCTTTACACATGATCCAGGTACAGTATCCATTCACGTTTTATCATACTGCGTTTTGAATCATGAACAAAAAGTTGCACAATAATACGCTGCAAACATACTGAAAATGTTTCACTGACACCCTCTTCAAATGCTGTTCCTCCATGGTTTGTTTTCTACCAAATAAAAACAATTGATTAACATTTTTTTCAGAGCTTAAATTAATTCAGTTTTCATATACTTACCTGATGTCATTTCAAACCCATAGGAATTCCTTTCTTGTATGAAACAATTGCACTTTTTCCACACAACAAACTTTCCCTCACAGCTTTGTTTTCATTTGCATATATATATAAAAATAGTGAGCTCATTAACATATTGCAGCACCGCACATAACCAGCAGAGGGCAGCGTTGCACCAGACAATTGACAGCTGCAGAGGGAGAGACATTTCGAGTAATATTTGCCCTCAGACGTACGTCTGTGTTTTATTAACCCAGTGCATCTAATTACCATAAACCTATTAATCAGTTCAGCGCCTCCAAGTTACAGGATGTTAATGAATCGAGCATCTGCTATTAGCAAGCACAGGGACTTCATATGGCATATTTGTTTTATTATCTAGTATCTCTGCAAACTACCTTGCCATTGGTTTACTAATTGCCTAAAGTATTTCTGTGCCAAGGGCTTTTGTTTGGGTCATTTCAAGGTTGCTCGCTATGATGTAATGGCATTCTCGGCGACACTGGCGAAAAAAAGCGAGCTAATAATGCCGAACTTGCCCTAAATCTCAAGTGATTTGACTCTTTCTGCGTTGAAAGTCAATATGAAGAAAATATACGGCTTTAGTTTTGCGTTTTTAATGAGATCAAGTGAAACTTTTTCATTTCCCCCTCTAAAAGAATCAAATACTAATTGCTATGGGGTGAAGATTTGTACTGCAGTCACTGTTCCACGCATTAATATTCAGCTCTGTCATCGCTTAATGCATCAGTAGAGTAAAATTACATCAACAAAGCACATCATTTATTCCGCAGACATCACCAATCATCCGACTGCAGCTAATAGAGATGATTGAGGGCTTGATGTGCATGTGAAGAGCCGGTGAACAGTGAAACGTTTTCTCTGTGTGACACAGCAGTGAAAAGATGTTTGTGTTGCAAATTGTTTAGAGGATATCATAATGTTCATAAAAGGGTTTGGTATTATGATCAGCTGTACTGGACGCCCAGGATTCAGAGACTTTATGTGCAGTTGGAAAAATGTAACACATTCTTGGTTTGATGTAAATATTTGAAATTTGAAATTGTATGCATTTTATGTGCAAACAGTTATGCAGAATTTTTGGACATTAAAGCATTGTAATTCATGTGTTTTAAGCTTGAGGCGTCCACTGCAGCTGAAGAGTTGCTCAACGATCACATGTAAAGACACAAACTGGGACTTTCCTGTCTGTGTGAGTTTGTTGTGTGTGTATGTGCATGTGCTGAATGGCCCTGTTGAGAGACGCTCGAGTGATTTGGTTTGGTGTGGTGGTTGAGGCTCAGGACGGCTAACCAGAAGGTTGTTGGATCGATTCCGGTGAGGAAAAAGTCAGTTGTGCCCTTGAGCGAAGCAGCTGAAGGAATGCATCAGATTGAGCTAATCTCTATCGACAGCATTTGTCAATTACTACAGAAAAGAACTCTGACCCTTTCATCAGGCTGTGTTTACAGTAACACACTTTCAGTGGAAGTGCACAGGGTTCATTCACTCTTGGCGTTTAAATGCAAAATTGTGCTGCCTGATTTTTTTTTTTTACAAAAGGAAAGTAAGTGATTCTGTCACACTAGTCTCATGTTAAAATGTCTGTGGTAAATGTAATGTCTATTACCTTAAAATTATTGCTTTCCCATATTTACTTAAATTGTATTGCATTACAGTAACCGTGAAAAAATGAAATGATTTAAATCCCCTTTTCCTTATAAAATTGGTTAAAATGCCTTAAAATGTGAACGTAATTTGCTGGAAATGACCTTTAAATATGTGCCATTTGATATGTATTTATATTAGAGAATATTAGAGTTTATTTATTTTAGAGAATTACTTTCATTTGAGCAAAAGCTTTTACAAAAACGTGAAATAATTAAAGGTGTTTATATTATTCGTAAAACTATAATTAATAATATAATTGAAATAAAAATATAAATGTAACATTTTTATAATTTAAATAATTTAATTAAAAATTAAATAAGGTAAATACAAAATAAATATGACTATACAATATTTTGAAAATATATTCAAAAATAATTTTTAAAAATAAATTTTATATTTACATATTTTGTGGTTTAAATAAATATTAGTTGTTTTTTCCCTTTTATTAAATAGGATAGTGGAGTGACAGGAAAGCACAGGCAGAGAAAGGCCAGGCTCAATTCTGTGTCCCTTTTGCACACCCAAGATAATGTGTTTTTGTATCAGTATGTCATTGCTTGTGAGATGTTATGAAGACAGAATATAGTTTTTATCGTGATAGATGTTGTGTTGGTTTATGAAGCATCGGATGACTTGGGTCACACTGACACTCTGGAATATGTTCCTGTTTTTTGTCTGCGTGTTTCTCATCTCTAACGCCCACATTTCGTCCACGTTCATCCCTCGTTCCCCGTTGAGATGAAATGAAAATGGCCTTTTGTTGATTACATGCTCATGCAGTTTGGCTTAGCATACCTCAGTTGTAGAAGCGCAGTGCCAGACGTGTAATTGTCATCATGATTCAGGGTGGTTGCTAATGTGTTGCTAGGTCTGATGAGGTTCTGGATGATTTTTAATGAGCTAAGGTAATCTAGATGGATTTTAATGCATTTGCTATGAGATTACTGCAGTGTTCTGGGTGGTTTTGAAGCATGTTTCTATAGAATGCTCTGAGTGGTTGCTATGCAATTACTGTAGGGTGTATTAGGTGGTTGCTAGAAACTGATGCACTTAAATTCTTCACTGAAACTAAAAATGTTGGACCAAAATTGTTAATATTTAAATGATCAGTTGTCAGTTCTATTAATTTTATATTATTATTTGTTTTTATTATCATTCATATTTATAAATTTGGTCACACTTTTTTTTTAAGGTCCAGTTCTCACTATTAACTACGACTTTTGCCTCAATAAACTCCTCTAATTTGCTGCTTATTAATAGTTAGTAAAGTAGTTGTTATGTTTAGGTATGGAGTAGGATTAGGGATGTAGAATATGGTCATGCAGAATATGTGCTTTATAAGTACTAATAAACGGCCAATATGTTAATAATAGGCATGCTATTAAGCAACTAGTTAATAGTGAGAATTGGTCCCTAAACTGAAGTGTTACCATTAATTTTATATATTATTTTGTGTCTGACTGAAAATCAGAAACAATAATTATCAGGGAGTCTCCAAGAAGATTATATATATATATATATATATATCTCAATATCTCATCAGGCTGAACAACTTTTGTGCTGACAATCAGCGCTCCGCCCAACAGGAAGTCGGCTATTTAGGGTTTTGTGAAAAGCGCATGCTGTTGAATTTGCGACACTCCTCCTAGGGTTTTCATCCGATCTCTGCCACCAAACTCGGTCAACATGACTTCAAGACATTGGGGAGGCAAAATATTTTTCCAGCATTTATTAATATTTGTTAATGTTAGTTAATAAAAATGTTCATGTTCATTTTAGTTCATGGTACCTTAACTAATGTTAACAGATACAACTTTAAATTTTAATTAATAATGTATTATTATAACTTAAACTTAATATTAACTAAGATTAATAAATGCTATATAAATATTGTTCATGTTTACTAATATAGTTAATGTTAACAAATGAAGCCTTATTGTAAAGTGTAACCAAAGTTTTATATATGGTCCCTTTGTTTGTGTGTGTGTTTCACACTCTTGATGTTAAAGTGTAACCTTTTCATTGCTGTGATCCTTAAACCCAGACTGCCAGAAGGTTACTGTAAATGCATGTGCCCGCTGTGCACTGTTTTCCTGATGCCACCGGGGTGGCGGAGCTGCCGGCCCGTCATTGCTGCTTGCAGCTATTTTTTTATATCGTTTTTATTTTGTATTTTATTTTAAATTTTTTAATTATTATTTTGAAATCGTCATGTGTTTTACGTTGTGTAGTGTTCAGTAAAACTGCTGAGTAGTCCCTCTTCATTGTCCATCTGGATTTCTCCTTATGCATCTCATCACACATAAGAGCAGTAAGGGAAATTTTTGATATCTTTAATCATCCAGCAGGTAAAAATGTTACTCATTGGCAACACTGTTTGGCACACACACGCGCGCGCTCAAGGACTGTGGCTTTTCTTGTGTGTGTCGTGATAATGAGTTGTTCACCTGTGCCTGTTTGTCAGGGTCAGCGAGTCGATGTAGCAGTCAGAAGCGCTTTAGCTCAGCAGCGGTGTGTGTTGACGCAGGTTGGCGTGTGTGTCATCTGAGTGTATGGAGATGATGTGGGCTTGCTTGATTTCCCCGGGATGCGGTTGCCATGGTTACAGAAGGGCAGGATGCTGATAGCTGTCTTAGATTAATGTCATCACCTGGATAATCACACGGCTCTCTGCAGGTGTGTGTGTGGATCGCAAGCTGACAGCTGAACTTTTCTAGGGGTGTGTGTTAAACAGCCATGGTCTCTCTCTCTCTCTCTCTCTCTCTCCTGCTCAAGGTTTGTCAGTATTACAGTCCCAGTTTTGTGTCACTAAAAGAGAAACAGAAAGAGCTTCAGTTAAAAACAGATAAAGGAATCCTTCACTCAAAAATGAAAATTCTGAAAATTCATTCGTATTCATGCATATTCCAACTAACGCTACACAATTGGTCACAACACAATGGAGAGAGAGAGTAAGCGTGAACGAGGTTTACAGTGAATAATTATTTAAATTTCTGTCTGTTTCAGTGTTATTTTAGTACAAATTATATATAATCATTGTTTTTAGTAATATTGTACCTTAGCTTTTATTTTTTCATTTTTCATTTTTCATTTAAATGTAATTTTAATTGTACTAATTTATAATTTTGTTATGTGCTATTGTTTTCATTTATTTATTTATTTATTTATAGGTTTAATGGATTTTTATTTCAGTTTTAGTTTTTATTCAGTTTTAGTTTTTTTTTATTTCCAGTTAGTAATTTCAGTGATTCAGTTATTTGCCAAGGCAACATTTCTAATTTTTTCCCACAGTTTTTATCTAATATGTGTATACCTTTATTTCAGTTAACAAAAATATATTAATAGTTTATTTTTAGTCAACAAAAATAATAAATAAATAATAAATAGATTAATTAATTAATTAGAATAGCATTAGAGTGTTATTTTAGTATTATTTATATACAAGTATGTATTAATTGTTTGAATTCGCTTTTTTATATTTACAGTTTTCATTGTAATTTTAGTTTTACATGTAAAAATTGTATTTGCCAAGTTTGTCAGTTTTAATAGTTTTTTATATTTCTGTTTTGCTTTCATTTATTTTCACATATCATTTCATTTATTGAACTTAATTTAATACTTATTTTACAACTTAATTTATTTTAGTTTTAATTTCAGTTTTATCAAATATTAATATTTTATTTTATTTCAGCTTTATTTTAGTTTTGGGTAACAAAACACTAGAGAGTGAGTAATTTTGGGGTGAACTATTCCTTTAAGCAAAGAAAACTCACATCATTAATTAATTAAGGAGTGTGATTCTGTGTTTTAACTGCATGTGTGTGTGTGTGTGTTTGTTTTTGGTGGGCCAATTCAGCTTCATTCAACATCTGAATCTGATTTATTACCCGCTGACACTCTGGCATCTAATCATCTTCACAAACACACTCACACACTCTCATCTCAAGCTTCACACTGTGTTCTAACCAGCCGTGACGAGTGAAAAATGTATACGCTGATCAATTGCAATCCTGACAAGCATGAAGACTGTGTAGCTCCGCCCACAGTATAATGTCAGAATCTGAATCAGATGAATCTGAATCAAATTAATCTGAATCTGAATCAGTCAGTGGTTCAAAATTCTGGTTAGGACGCCGTGTCAGAGACTAGCTGAGATGCTGTCACCACTGACTTAACTAGTACCAGTTTGAGCTGGTTGTGAATCTGACCTCCAAGCCAAGTGGAGCACTCTTTGACCTCTGTGACCTCTCCTGTGCCGGCTGTAACCCTGATGCCTGTGTGTGACCCCTGACCCAGGATGCAGACGTCCAGCACCACCTGCAGCCTGGGCTCGGCTGACGAGAACGCGGTGATGCAGGCGGATGACGCGCTGAAGACCGTCCACCTGGAGCTGACGGAGACCTGTCTGGACATGATGGCGCGATACGTCTTCTCCAACTTCTCTGCCCTGCCCAAGAGGTGATGCCTGTTCACCACAAACTAGACTTTACAATTCGTTTGAATTCACAGCCCTAATTTAATCAAATTAACAGTTCAATTAATCACAATTAATGCTTCAACATTCGCAGTTGAATATCAATATTTGATTAGAAAAGCCAGTAATTGAAGGTAAAATTCAAAATGTTACGCTATCATGTCAGATACAGAGTTGAATCAGGAGACATGATTAATTTAATAATCATATATTTGATTCATTTAATTAATGAAAAAATACACAATCATTACTCCTGATTTAACACTTACATATTATATATTAAAACAAAATGTAATAAAATAATATTAATTGCTCTAAATTAATGCATTAAATTGATAATTGTTCTACAATTGCTGAAGTAATTAGTATTAGTATTTTTAAAATAAAATGAAAAATAATAATAATAATAATAAAAAAAAGTTGCCTTAAAACTGAGTTAATTATTGATGTTTAAAAATTTCAATAAAATAATAAAAAGTCATAATAATAATTGCCTACTGAAACAATGAGTAACTGTGTTAACTTTTTGAAATGTTTTATTTTTATTAATGTACATTTTAAAATTAAATAAATAATAATAATAATAATAGCTGCCTTTAAACTGTAACAGTTAGTAATTGATGTTTAAAATTAAAATTTAATTTAATTATATTATTTAAAATAATAATAGTAATTGCCCTACTTAAAAACTGAAACAGTGAGTAATTGTGTAAATTTTTTTTGTCATGTTTATAAAAAAAAAGAAAATATGACTAACAGTACTAAAACAATACAAATATTTTTTTTCATTATGCAAGTCATTTTTTTTTCTTATTTATGCCAACCAAAACTCACTGACCAGTCTTTTAGGGTCTGTCAATGCACCAAAAGCTGTTTTACCATCTGACTTCAAAAGAATTGTAATTTCATTCATTTGTCAGTCACTTTGAAATGAAGTGTCTGCTAAATGAATAGATGCATTGAAGCTGCACACAGAGCTGCTGTTGTCTCTGCTTTTTCTCTTTCTTTCATTTTAGGTTGGTTTACACACTTGGGTAGAGCTGTAATTGTTTGACCTTCATGCTTTTGTTCGGTGTCTTTGTGCAAACCTTTAAATAGTACTTGGCTTTCATCTCTGCGATGTATGACGAATGCAGGCCATTGAACGCTGCATCGATTCACCTTTTGTACCAGAGTAAACTTCTTTGTCAGTCTGTCTTACAATAGTTGTTTCGCTCTCTGTGTGAATGGACACATCAACCCATATCCTTATTCGACCAGTTGTTTTGGGAAGTGTAGCATCTACTTTTAGCATACGAGCAGCAAACTCTTGTCAGAAATGGATGTGTAAGTGTTTTTTTTCACAATAGCATCTCCGGTGTCCTGTGGCTCTGTGTGACACTAAATAAAGATGATTAATGGGCTTTTATAAACTCTCGTTCTCTCTCTCAGGTCTCCCATTGCAGAGTTCCTGTTATCCGGTGGCCCCAGTATGACTTGGCTGGTTGGGAATAAGTTAGTCACCATAACGACCAGCGGCGGGTCACGAACCCAAGCCCTTCTGGGTCTGGACATGGCAGAGAGACCTGGAGGAGGAGGAATGACCAGGTTACAAACATAGACCACCTTGTTTGTTACCAGCCAATGAAGTTCAGGCTATTACTATTAGGGTTGCAAAGGGGTGGAAAACTTCCAAAAATCCCTGGAATATTCCAAAAAAATCCTGGAAAGTTTCCAAAATTTCTGGAATATTTCTGAAATTTACTGGAAATTTCCCACCTTTTTGCAACCCTAGTTACTATAGGCTATTACTTTAACGTGGTATTACCATAGTATTTTTTTAAAGGTATCTTGGTATGAAGTGCATTGGTACATTTCAAAGTACTGCCACCGTACTTTCTGAAAAGACCTTTTATTCACTTCTTGTTCTGTACTTTAGACTAACTCTAACCCTGAAATATGATTTTTTGGCATTGTTAGATGTGTTTTAAAGGGATAGTTCATGAATGTTTAGACACAAACAGGAAAAGGATCAGCCTCAACCATATGACTGTGTTTACTGGTCTCATCAGATTCATGGGAAAACATAAAAACAAATACAAACATGAATCTCCTGTAGGTCTGACCCGTCATTACACATCCGACAGACGAAAGAGGCTCCTGCTAAACTCGAGTCACAGTCCGGCCAGCAGATCGGCTCCAGCACTCGCACACGCGTCCGCTCCATATCAGGTGACAGTGTACACACACACACACTTTCCCTGAGCTTTTCTTGGTTTTTAAAGTTTTTGACCATTTTCCACTTTTGGCTACTGTAACCTTTAAGACTTCTATATGTAAATGACTTCTTTCTTTACTGTCTATCCTTCCGTATGAAAGCAGTTCCTCAGCCAAGCTGTTGAATACTTAATGTAGATATGTAAATATATGGCCAGTCGTACATGAAATTACAATCTTAAAGCGACAGTTCACTCAAAATGCCAATTCTGTCGTCATTTACTCACCCTCTGTTCATTCTAAAATTGTATGATTTTTATCTGTGGAACACAAATGAAGATATTTTGAAACTTCTTTAGCTATAAAAGTCAGTGGTGTTCAGAACTTTCAAGCTCCAAAAAGTCTGTAAATGAAATCAAAATCAAATCAAATATAAATATTAAAAAAAACTTTAAATGAAAAAAACGTACATTTTATAAATTCGAAATTAGAAACAACTGAAATAAATTTTAAATTGAAATACTAAAATTACTAAAAATAAATAAATTAAAGCTAAATAAAATATTAAAAACAAAACTAATAAAAAGAACAAAAGCACACAACAAAATTACTTAAACTCAAAATTTTTATGAAATATAAAAATAGGAGCTAATTCAAATTATGAATAAATAATAATCCGCTGGACGCCACTCTCTTGTGAACGTGTGTACGACAGTTAGCGGAAGCTAGAGATTAAGATTTATAAAGTTGTAAATATGGATATTTTTCTTACACCAACGCACCGCGTTGCTTCAGAAGGCCTTTATTAACCCCCCGGAGCTGTGTGGACTTCTTTTATAATGGATGGGTGCGATTTTTTTGCCACTTCAAATTTTGGGCTACCATCCACTCCCATTATAAAGCATGGATTAGCCTGGACGTTATTTAATATAGCTCCGATTGTATTCGTCTGAAAGAAGAATGTCATATACACCTAGGATGGCTTGAGGGTGAGTAAATCATGGGGTAATTTTAAGTTTTGGGTGAACTATCCCTTTAAGCGCTTTCATTCTCTCTCCAGGTGGTCACGCTCTGCGGGCCGGTCCGGCTCAGAGTCTCAGTCCGCTGGTGGCGTCTCCTGAGGGCGAGTACAGCGGCCCGCTGCCTCCGCCGGGCCCCCCGCTGGAGGTGCTGGGGTCTCAGAGGGGAGTGGAGGAGCACCCGGCACCCCCCTTCTTCTCCCAGTCCTCAGCGCCGCTCAAAGACAAGTCCAGCCTGGCCGAGTTTGTGCCCATGCTGACGCAGGGCTGGGCCGAGATCTTCATCCGCAGACCCTCAGGTACGACAGACGCGCTTAACATGCCCAAAATATCCGGGGGCGCGTTAACGGGTGCGTGCTTTACCTCGTAACATTGGCCTGGGCTGTAATTATCGCCAACTCGCTCTCAATTATGCCACATTTGTGCACGGCACTAAAATTAAATCATCATAACTTCATTCCAAGGGCGTTTGAGACGCACATGAGCGCACATGCGGCCCGCAGGGGAGGCCATGCCATTTTGAAAGTTTCATAATAGTTTGACTCACACCTGCCGTGCCCACGGGCTCGATTTTCTTCAGCTTTTCTTCTCCATCTGCCTCTAGATGAAGAATAGCTCGGGAGCATTTCTCAGATTTTTTTTTTCTTTTTTCTTAATTACGACGTGTCCTTGAGTGCTTCACTTCTTGTAGAATAACACATGACGAGATGTTTTTCAATGTGATTCCTGAGGATTTCAGAGGATTGCCATTTTGGTTTTGTTCCTTTCTGTGTTTGTCTGTCACGTTTTGTGTCTTTCTTTCATGAGTCAGTTTTAAAGGGCTCTTGCTTCACACCGAACAGCTTTTATGCATTTTATTTTTATGATCTCTCTTTTGCTCTCTCTCTCTCAGAGTTCAGTTCAGTTTAGTTCAGTTTATATTATAAGAAAAAAAATAAGTAAAATAAAAATTAAATAAAATCTGAAAAGGGCCACTCTTGTTATGTGTAAAATGACCAGAGCTTGAAAACAACACTGAAAAATAAAGTTAGACGGGTTGCAATGTGTGATGTCACTTCCTACCCAGAAAGGAAACTTTTGGCTGTTCGGAAACAAATGAAATACTAGTTTAAATATGTGCATTTTTCCAAAAGTCAAAAAAGTTTTTTTTTTTTTTTGTAAAATAGTGCAAATAAACATATAAATAATATATAAACATAAACATATAAATAATATAAAAATTAAATTAAATTAACTCAAATATTAAGTGGTTTGAAATAAAAATAAGGGCAAATATTTATTTATTTATATTTTTGGAACTGTACATGTATATAAAATGTAGTATAATTTTAGTTGTATTAAAAATACATAAAATAAAAATTTCCAGTATGCTAGTATTTCATTCCTTTCCAAAGAGCCAAAATATACTTTCTAGATAAAAAATAGTGCAACTAAACAAGTAATATTAAATCAGTTAATCAGTTAAAAATAAGGTAAAATAAAATCACATAAAGAATGTATTTATTTGTTTTTAAAATGTCTCTCTGTATAAGCTAAGATCCAAAATGTCTCTGGTGCCTCGAGTCATTAACTAGGCAAACTGGTTTCATTAGCGTGTCTGTGTGAGCAGACGCTGATGCAGATGTTGGTTAAACGGAGACATGGGCATATAGCTGTAGGTGTGAACAGACAGCTGGAGGTCTTAATATGACGACATCCTCCCCCGTTACGTGTGTGTTTGTGTGTGTGCACAATATTTTCCATGAATCAGTATTTTGCATTATCTCATAAAAATAAATGTATTTGTGTTGTCCTAATGACTGTAATAACATTTATTTATTTATTTATTTTCTTAACAGCTGTAATATGTCACCATGTGATGTTCTGAAGATACAACTAAAGAAATAGTTTCTTAAAGTACATATTATATAATACATATTTCTATAATAGACTATTTGTGTTTCTTTAATTTGATTAGTTTGAGTCAACTGTCGTGATTTAAAGAATGCATTCTGCAGTTCTTATGGTGCAGTTCTTGTGATTAGTTTGGCTCTGTAAATCCGGTTCTTCTGTCCTTGCGTCTGCTCTCAGGTAACACCAGCTGGCTGATGTGTCTGGAGAACCCGCCGAGCCCCTTCTTGTCTGAGCTGGGGAACGTCCCGCTGCAGGAGCTGTCCAGTGTGCTGATGGCCATGGACGGGGTGAAGGAGCCCCAGAGCGAGGCCGCTGTGCCCCAGCCGCAGGGGAGGCCCTGCCCCATCCAGCGCTCCAACACCGGTGAGCTCAGGTCTCTCAAAACAATGGCTGTTTAGCATATATTTATGGAGCTGAAATATTTAAGAAAGCAGAAGTTTGATGAGCTGAGTCTGAGAACAGCATACTAGCATACTACTGTGCTATACTACTTACCACTGTTTATGCATTTCTGTAGCATGTGTACTGTGTCAGAATATTGCCTGCAAATATAGTACTTTTGTTTTTGTATACACAGAATATCCCAATTTTTTTTTTTTTTTAATAATTTTATTTTAATTTTAGTTAAAGTTTTACATTTTTAAATAAACACATTTTGTTGTTTTGTCATTTTTATTAGTTAATTGGTTGAAATAAATGAAAATGAGAATTTAAAAAAAAATGCTTTTAATTTATTTAATTATAATAACCCTGAATATCATTATCCATTATCTTATTTTATATTTTATATAACCATAATATAATTCTATATTTTTTATTTTATTTTATTCTTGACAAATTATCTTCTAAAAGTTGAGAAAAGCATATTAATAATGCCAAAATAATCATAAATATTAACAAAATCATATCTGATGGTCATTGGCTAAATAAAGCAGCTAAAGTGGTGTGTTCAGTAGTATGCAAGCATGCTATTCCAAATTAAGAGATAAAAAGGCTAAATTAAGAATAGCATACTGTGCTTACTATTATGTCAGAAAAAGTAAAACTAGTATGCTAATTCGAATTCAGCCTTATTGTGTACTGCCTAGATACTGTATGTTGCCTAGTATTTTTTATAAACAGTATGTATAACCACATATATAATTTTTATTTATTTTTTTATTTTTTTATATATATATATATTTTTTTTGAAAACAGTGGGAAGTGTACAGTATCTAGTGTGCAGCATGCAGTAAGCAGTATGGTAGTATTTCATTTCAAAGAGCCAAACCTTTACTTTCTTTGGAGAAAATGACATCACGCATTGGGACCTTTCTTATATCTATCCGTCTATCCGTCTGTCTATCTATCTATCTGTCTGTCTGTCTGTCTGTCCGTCCATCCGTCCATCTGTCCGTCCATCCGTCCATCTATCCATCTAGCCATCTATCTATCTGTGCTATTGTCCGTCCGTCCGTCTATCTATCTATCTATCTATCTATCTATCCAGCTGTCTGTCCATCTATCCATGTATCTATTCTTTATTTATTTATTTATTTATTTATTTCTAATTTTCAAGTGTTTGCTTTCTTATATAAACCATCCTGCTACATTCAAACATATTTATTTGTTTATGAATCCATTTTTCAGACTCTTGCTATTTTATATGAACATGCCTGCTCATTTCAACTTAATTTAGCTGCATCTCAAGTGTTTCAGTGATTTATTCGTTTCACCTCCCTCCAAATAACATGCAGTGGATAAATGACACACACTTAAAAAGAAAAACCATTTGTCATCCACAGCTCAGTATTTTTAATTGCAGACCTTCTCTCATGCCGTTTACAGTGGGCCGCTCAACATATCTGTCCCTCTTTCAGCCGGAATCTCTTTGAGTCTTTGTGTGTGTTTCCTCTGGGTTGATGGCTTGGCCTGTGTTGGTTTTTGTCTGGGTTTGTCACTGCAGTAGGTGCTCTGGGCTCTCTCTGCTCCGCCGAAACGCCCGGCAGGTTACACAGGAGTATATCGTGGGCAGGTAGATATGTCTGACGCGTGTGTATGTGGCCTCGAGCGCTCTAGAGTGTTTCTGTAGCTTCCTCTCTTCATTAACACTCAACAATCCAGAACAAACCAACTAATGAGCGCTGAACTCAACCAGTCTCCACACAGCCTGAGAACCAGCCAATGGGATTGATTCCTGATGCAGGACGCTCCTCCTCTTTTACCTGGAGCTCTTTTCACTTCCTTTGCTCTTTTTCTTGCGTCCATGAATTTGACATGAAAGGCATCTTTCTCCTGTAATGTATTCCCTTTATATTATGTGTGATTTCAGTTTGACCCACATAAAAGTATTCCTGTTAGAGCTGGACGATGTGGATAAAAAAGGTTTCGAAATGTTTCAGTCATTCTTTATAAATCAAGAATATAGTTGTAGGTAGTTGAGATAACTTGTCTGTTAACCTGTTATTATTCAATATCAATATTTTAGGTTAAAAATGTACAAGAAAAAGTGTGTTTTTCCAGGTGTATATTTTGTCAAATCCACTTCTAGCTTTTTTGTTGTGGTGTGATAAATGAATTTATAAAGTAGAAACATTTTCATGTACTTTTGCAATCATAATAATAATACTTAGTGTTATTAATATTATTATTAATATTATATCAGTTAATACATTTATTTTACAATATAACAATGTATAATAATAATAAACAGCAATATTTGCAATATCAGTCAATAAAAATATGAATTGTATGAATTGCATGATATGGCAGTTAATTAATTGAATTAATCTCAGTGCATCGATATTGAAAGAATTTTGAAGGCTAATAACAAAGCATATTTTCTTAATTAAAAACATAATTTTAAGTATTTTAAATAATTACAGAACAAATATCTAAATAATATTTAGATATTAAAATGTATATTAAATATTCTTAAATAGCTATAGCTATATCCTTCAGTCGTTCTTTCTATTACTAGTCAGATGTAGCTAATATTTTAAATATTAATTCAATTTTATTCAATTATTATTATTATTAATTAATTTAATATTTTTATGTATTTGCATCAATATAACAATTTATATTAATAAACAGCAATATTTACCTTCATATTAGGGCTGTCAGTTTATTAAAAAAATCAACTGAATTATAGTTCTACATTTGATAATAATCATAATTATAATGATATGATATTTGAAGAATTTTGAAGGATAATACGGCAGATAATTAAAAAGACAATTTTAAGGACGTTCAGAACAAATATGTAAATATTTGAATGTATATTAAATATTCTCAAAGGGCTGGAAAATGTTTTTAGATGTCATCGTTATTTTGGCACATTTTTCAGAAAGAGACTGTAACTGTGTATTTGTGTTTCAGTTTCTTTTGTCAACTCGTAGGACTCTGCACTAGCACACAGACCTCAGATCTAACACACATGGACGTCAACTCCCATTTCCATTTCATCGGGTCTCTAAAAGCAGCATGTTTTGTAAAGCCTTTCAGTGTCAAATCCTGCTTCATGTGTCTGACTCCATCAGCTTGTGTGTGTTTGTGATCGGAGTGTGTTTGATCCTCAGATGCCTCTGCATGTATTAGAGTGACTGTAGGAGCGTTTCTAGACTAATCACAGATACGGTAGATGCAGCTCAAGGCTCCTCTGCTCGTGGATCTAATACAGTGTGTTGTGACGGCATCTCGTTTATGGTTCTCATGCTGTCGTCCAACAGATTCGGTTGTGTTGGAGGAAGGTGGACGGAGCAAAGCGACTGTATCAGCAGCTGAGTCCAAAGAGCTGGAGGAGACTGAATCCATCTTCATGAGCGCCGCTACAACACCAGCCGGCTTACTGAGCAGAGTGAGGGAACCTACACCAAACACTATCAACACACTCAACTATAACCAGTGTTGGGGGAAGTTACTTTTAAAAGTGATGCATTACAATATTGCGTTACTCCATGACAAATGAACTAATTACATAACTTTTTATGGAAAGTAATGCATTACATTACTTCTGCATTATTTTTGTCGCCTGGGCTGGGCATGCATATTTATTTTTAATAACAAAAAAACCCAAAAGTTATATTTTTGGCAACTGTAGAGGCCCTTTCACACCAAAAGTGAAATTAATAAACCTCGGGCTGAAGGAAGTGCCTCTGTTTCTGCACCTCACTCCCGATTTCTCTCAACACAGGGACAGAAGACGTGTCAAGTGAATAAATGGGAAAACAAAGCATTACTTATTTGAAAAAGTAACTCAGATATTTTCTTGTAAATTGTAAATGTAATGTGTTTCTTTACTAATTACTTGAAAAAAGTAATCTGGTTACATAACTCTCGTTACCCCCAGTATTGATAATAATGTAATCATTTTAACATATGTAATTTAATAATAACGATGTTGATGATGATGATAATATATATTAAGTATGCCATTGTATAGGCATTAAACATTATATAGAGTACAGTATTTAAAAAAACATTAAAATATTAATAATGGAATAATGTATTATTATCATGTATAATTTATTATGTAATTTTATATATATGAGGCTGGAGTTTCCCACGGCCCAGCCGGGACCCCTGTCTCCCACCGGACACAGACCCCGCGGACACACCATCTCAGTGTCTGCGCCCTCGTCCCGCAGGGAGAGGAAGATGGACCGAGACTCGTACCACAACCGAGGAGGACCATCCAACGCAGAGAAGAGCTCAGGACTCAGTCCCAGGTAACATGAAGTCCAAACTCGTGTTCTGCCTTCCTTTATACACACTACAAAGTCTGTTTTTCATGCAGTTACACTGAACGCAAACGTTTCAAGCTTCGAAAAGGATGCAAAAGCATGTTAAATGTGTTATAAAAGTTAGGAATACACGATATATCAATTCCATATCATTTAATACAGTACTGTTCAATAGTTAAGTAAGATTTTTTTTTAAATAAATTAATTTTATTCAGCAAGGATGCATTAAATTGATCAAAAGTGATTGTAAAGGCATTTACAAAATATTTACATTTCAAATAAATGCTGTTCTTTTAAACATTCCTTGATCAAAGAATCCTGAAAAAATCTTATCAGGGTTTCCACAAAAATATGAAGCAGCACAACTGTTTTCAACATTTGATAATAATCATAAATGTCTCTTGAGTAGCAAGTCAGCATATTAGAATGATTTCTGAAGATCATGTGACATTGAAGACTGGAGTAATGATGCTAAAAAAAATTCAGCTTTGATCACAGAAATAAATTACATTTTAAAATATATTCACATGGAAAACAGTTCTTTTAAATTGTAATAATATTTCACAATATTGGTGTTTTTACTGTATTTTAAATCAAATAAATGCAGCCTTAGTGAGCAGAAGAGACTACTTTAAAAAACATTTGAAAAATCTCACCATCTCCAAACTTTTGAACAGTAGTGCGTGTACAATTTTTAACGATCAGTATCAGTCATTATAGGTTATTTAATTTTTAAATTTCCTTTTTTAATACATTTAGATGACCTTTGCGATCATCTAGTGCTCACTTAAATTTTAAAACCCTTATAATTTAATCTCACTGTTGAATGTAATCTTTGAATGTAAGCTAATTTTCCGTTATAATGTGGTGCCTAAACACATTGTAACATTACAAACAAGTGTTTTATTTATTATACAAACTTGTATTAATAGTTTAATTTATTGTATCTTTATTTAATTTGAATACATTTGAAGATGTAATGTTTTTATAAGTTATCGTCTAGAAGTAGTGTTTATGCCAGAAATGTCAAAACCACATGTTCCTAACCAGCATTCATTATTTATTACTCACACTGTGTAAAATCCCTAGAAACGCAGTTTAGCACTGATGATGAAGTGTTTAGCGGTTGCCATTGCATCAAGGTCTTTTGGAAAAGTGTCTTTTGATTGCATCTTACTTTTAGCAGATGTTTTTCATTAAGATGACGTGCACTACACGTACTTACACTAAATGATGGGACAGTTTGTATAAAATAATGTGGGGGAAAAGCCTCCTGTGCAACGGTGTGTCAGTTCTTATTAAAACTACAGCTATGAACAATCCATTAAGGCTGGGCGATATGGCCAAAAATATTATTACAATCTTTTTTTTTTCCATATCATACAATATCGTTATTTATCACGATATTCATTTACCAATAATGGGGAAGGAAATGCTTTCCACATATTTGCTAAACCTTTAGAATGTATGTTAAGATAATTTGTTCACAATTAAACCTTTTAATTTAGGGCACCATGAAATCGGTTTCATTTTCCCCTAAATTCTGTTTTCCATTTGAGTTTTTCCTGGATTCTGTGTTTTATGATTCAGTACAAATTTATCATAAAAAAGGTGTCTAATTAAATTAATTAATACAACTTTAACAATTTAATCAGTCTTTCAAAATTTTATGAAATGAAAACGTAATTTACAAATAACAAATTTGTCAAATAAGATGCTGCACAACAGCAATGTATAACTGTATAAATTATTGAAAAAATACCTTAAAATATTATTATTATTATTATTACTATTATTACTTGAGAATTACATTTTAGTAAACAATAGTAATATATTTCTGTCATAATTTCTTCAAGTTAAACCAGACTTTTATTTTGGCAGTTTGTCGTGAAGGTCTTTGTTTTACTTTCAGTTTCAGTAGTTTTTCTCAAATGAAACGGTGAAAAGCTGGTGAAGTGACTCTCGGAGCAGCTCTGGAGATTAAGTTCATGTGATATTGCATATTGAGATATGATAACGTTTTATCGCCCAGCCCTACAATCTGTTATGGCGAATGCCGGCTCAGTTGTGTAATGGATGGCAGAAAGTGTGGCTGTGATCATGTTCAGCAAACGTTAACGCACCTGTAATGTCTGTGAACAGCATCCATTTGAAGTGCTCCATTTTATAGGAGAGGCAAAGCATTATATGGAGAGTAATGATATGACTGAAACGCCTTATTTTTTTCATTACTGTCATCATCTGTCGCCCCGTTGACATTAAATCATCCTGCCTCCTTCACTCGCTCGGCTCATTTTGTGAAGTGAGGCTCTTTCTGAGTTCAGCGCTTTCAAATTGTTGCCTTGAATTGGAATTACTTGTAAATTACTCCCATCCGTCTTTGTGAGGTTCAGTGCTGCTGGAGTTGCTCGGTCGATAGACTCGCTATTTATAGACCGCAGCCCGGGAAAGCCTAGCGAGTTTCCCGTAAGAGCGCTTTCCTCCGTCACGGAGCCGTACGTGTCTCGTTTAATGGGGTTCAGTCAGGCACTAAGAGCACTGGCACTGTTGTCTTTCATTCCTTGAAACAGTTTGCAGAGCCTTTCACTCTGTTGTGTGCAGATTGTTGTTCGATTTAAAGCATGTCTGTTTGGATAAAGCCACAATTACTTCCTAATAAGGACTGAAGGGCCCCGTCACTCAAAATACACTTGCTGTATGAATAGAGGCGTAAAAGGAGTAGTTTGGTGGAACAAGCTGTTATGAATGTCCTGGCTTCTCTTTTCTATGCAATAAAGGTGGATATGGATGGGAGCTGTCAAAAAGCGCAGTAAAACTGTCATAAAAATGTTTCATGAGACTCGTGCACTTGTGAAAATATAGCATACAACAGTTAACAGAAATGGAACAATTATTCATTGTGTTCCCCTTTTGCTGTAGCTATGTTTAATGCACGCACGCGTGCACACACACACACACACACACACACACATATATATATATATATATATATGCACGTTGTGACATTGTTTTAGCACAAATAAAATGGAAAACCAAAAATGTAATTGTCTACCGTAATAGACAAATAAATAAATAAATACATAAAAAAATGCAAATAAAAAAAACAATATTGTATAATGCTTGCATGCGTTGCATGAGAACAAGTGGTTTAATTTTTTATGATTTTACTAGCTGTTTATTTTATCAGCTGTTTTTATGTATATGTAAATATAATTTGAATTTGAATTTGTATTTTATAAATAAATATATATATATATATATATAGTGCTACACTATATAATTATATTTTCTGTTAAATTATATAAAATATTTTGTGTAAACATTTTCTATGTAAATTAATTCTCTCTCTGAAATTAATATATAGAAAAATCTATGAAATTAATATATAGAAAAATTATATAATAATAATGATAGATTTGTATTTTTTTAAACAGCTGAGTAATAATTAGTTCTGCAATCAAAAAAGTTGATTTGTTTGCATAAAAAGACAAAAGTAATAAGACAGAAGTAGCAGAAAATATATATGACTAACAATATATGTAACTTTTTGTATTATATATATATATATGTGTGTGTGTGTGTGTTATATATTATCTTATATATGTAACCCAAATAGAAAACTATGTTATGTTCTGTCGATACAGATTCCATGTGCGGCCGATTATAAATATTAAATCTAAATCTATCAGTCATCAGTATTGTGATGGTTATCTTATCGTAACCATCCTAACCGTGTGTGCTCATGTTGTTAGCTGTGCTGTGCAGCACGTTTTTCATTTGAGTTTGTCAAGGCAAGATTTATTTTAAGTCTAGAGTTATATCCTCATTTGCTAAGTTGTGCTGGGGCCAGGTTTAATGGGTCTCCTGAGGTCTGTAGAGCGTGTCAGGACACTTATCCTCTCCAAACTTCTTCACCTTTAACTTTGATATTTTCCGTGTGATGAGGTAAGTTGCGTGTAGGCAGATGAAAGCTGTGCGGGACTGAAAAGGCATTAAATGTAGTGCGCACTTGTGTTGAAGTGGAGGTTCAGTAGATCAGAGCTCAGTCTGACCTTTGCTCCTCTTCTTTCTGTCGGCAGCTTCGTCTTCCTGCAGCTCTATCACTCTCCGTTCTTTGGCAGTGAAGCCAACAAACCCCTCCTGCTGCCCAAATCTCAGGTAAGGAGACAGCACCTCTCTTATGGCTGTTGAAATTGGGCGAATCTCACGAACACATTATTTCATACCAAATCAAAAAAGGGAAATATATTTTTTTAAATAATAAAAATCATTATAAAGGTCTATATATGGTATATCCATGATTATAGTATTTGTTATAATTAATTTATGCAGATTTTTGTTTAAACACCTGGATAAGAACAGGGTTATTATCAATATAATAATAGTAAAATAATAGTAATACACAATAATAATAAAATAATAGTAATATACCTACACATAGACAAATATATACAAACAATACGTATACTTATGTAATACCTATTACTTTTTAAATCTAATTATTATTTAATATTCTGTCTCACTGCTACTATTAACAGTATTAATATTTATTATTAATAATATTTTTATATAATTGTTTTTAATAATAATATGCAATGTTATATATAATGGTTTTGGTATATATATATATATATGTTCAGTACAGTTTAAAGTATCCATTATAATAGTATTTGTTAGAATTAATTTATGCAGATTTTTATTTTAAAATCTGCATAGAATCAGGGTTCTTATCTTTAACTAAAACTAAAAACTAAAAGATTTTCATTACTCAAAATGAAACAAACGTTAACCGAAATTAAATAAAATATAAAAAATGGCAGATTTTTATTTTAAAATCTGCATAGAATCAGGGTTCTTATCTTTAACTAAAACTAAAAGATTTTCATTACTCAAAATGAAACAAACGTTAACCGAAATTAAATAAAATATAAAAAATTTATTTTATTTTTAATAATTTTTATTGCTGCTAGCCAACATTTCCCATTTTTGTTTAGTTTAAGTTGAAGTATTCAAATAACTAAAACTGAAAACTAAAAACAAACAAAAAAACCTTATAAAAATGACAAAAACACAACAAAAAATTTTTAAAACTTTAATTTAATTTAAATTAAATTTAAACCAACACCAAAACAGAAAATGTGAAAATAAAATGTATTAAAAATACTAACAAAAATATATAATAGTATATCAATGGTACTAAAATATCACTGGATAGGATAGGACTGGATTACAGTCATGAGAATGACTTTGCATTACAGTAATGAGAACTTAATGGGAAAATAATGATTATTATTTGTTTTTATTTCTATTTTCTAAAAAATAAAATCTATAAAAATAAATATTAGGCTTCATTATATAATTTTGGTTTAGATTTTTATTATGATTTTTATTTAGATTTTTATTACATTTCTGGGTCATATTTTTATGACCCAGAAATGTCTTGGAGATTCACTCAATCACTTTCATAGTCCTCTTGATTGACTTCATATTAATGTAGTGTGGTCTCGCGTTCACAGCTGATCGATCGTGCCGTTAAAGTCTTGGATCAGATGCCTCCGTATGACACTCATAAGATCGGCGTGGTGTTTGTTGGAGCCGGTCAGGTAGAGTCATGCTTCTCTTTCCATGCTGCTGTTTCAGATGTTGTAGGAAGTCTGTATGATTGACGGTTGTTTATTATCAGGCTACTAACGAGGTGTCGATCCTGTCCAATGAGTACGGCTCCAACCGCTACGCTCAGTTCCTCACGGGCCTGGGAAAGCTCATCCACCTGAAGGACTGCGACCCAGACCAGATCTTCCTGGGTGGACTGGATCAGTACGGAGACGACGGAGAGTTCACCTACTGCTGGCACGATGATATCATGCAAGGTCAGGGTTTATTAGTAGCAGTAGACGTATTGAGTATTGAGATATAGTAAAAAAGAATTATTGTTACTCATCACAATAACAATTGATATTATTTTTGTAAATAATATTTAGATTGTATATATGATATTATTATATATAAAAAAAAAATCTTAATAATAATAATAGTAGTTATAATAATGTTTTATTTTTTTTAATGTAATTTTGTTTTATTAAATTTTGTCAAAGAATCCGAAAGAAAAATACAAGTACAGAGCAATTATCTTCCCACCCCAACATATACAAAAAAGTAAAATAATATAAAATAAAATATAAAATAAAATAAATCTAAAAATAAAACAAATAAATCAATAATTATATATAAAAACAGATAAATGATAACTATACATACACATAGAACAAATACATATATAATACAAATTATTATTTAATATTATTTCTCGCTATTAACAATAATAGTTATCATTGTTATTTTTATTATTATTATTATTATTAATATTAAGTACTAGCAAACCTTTCAAAAGATCTTAAGTACAGTGAATATACTATGTTTAGTCAGTGTTTCTTGAGTCAGACTTTGTGTAACATTAATAAAAATATAGAATAATAATAGAATATTTATATATTTTTAGAATATTTAGATTTTTTTTACTACTGCTACTACTGTTATTTTTATCATTAAGTTTTATTTTCACAATAATAGTAGTAATAATAATAACAATAACACTATTATTATTATTAATATCATAAGTAGCGCTAGTAGTAATATTAATTCTAATTATTATTTATTGCTAATACTACAACTACTAATAGCTGTTGTTGTTTTTATTATTATTATTTACTACTAATAACGATTTTTTTTTTTTTTTAATTAAGAAGTTCCTAGAAAAACCCTGCCACTTAGAAAAGTAAAAGCGATCCTGTGAGGATCTCAAGTATGGGAAATATCATTTATTTAGCCACTTCAGTCAGCGTTGGCTTTAAGTGTTTGAGCAATGTGATCCATTATTATGTGATGCTCATTACTGCGTCTGAAGACTCTTAAGTGTTCATAAAGAGCGTTCGGAGGACGCAGCATCTGACTAATGCAGTCGTTTTGCTCCTCGGCAGCGATTTTCCATATAGCCACTCTGATGCCGAACCGTGAGAGCGACAAGGGCTGCTGCAATAAGAAACGCCACATTGGGAACGACTTTGTGGTGGTGGTTTACAATAACTCCGGAGAGGAGTACAAACTCGGCACCATCAAGGTGTGTGAGAGAGTCTGTTTCCATTTCATTGCTGCTTTTGGCACATTCTTTCCGAACTGTTTTTAAAATTAAATTTTTTTTATGTTTATGTTTATGCATTTAGGGTCAGTTCAACTTCGTGGAGGTGCTTATAAAACCTCTCGACTACGAGAGCAACCTGGTCACACTGCAGTGCCGGAAAGGTGAAAAGAGCCGCTTTCATTCAGATTTGTGTGTTGTATTGAAGGAGTGTTTGCTGGGTAATGCTGTAACTCCTCGTTCTCTCTCAGATCTGGAGGGTTTGGTCGACACCAGTGTGGCAAAGATCGTTTCTGACCGCAATCTACCGCTGCTCGTGAGACAGATGGCTCTGCACGCCAATGTGAGACTCAGCAGCTTCATTTGTCTCAGTGCTTTTTGTCTTTTGTCTCTTTTTTTTCATATGGAAGCTTATTTTCACCACAGAATAAAAAAAAGTTTCCCAGAATCACAAGTTCATATGAGTTGACATCTTGCGATTCAGATTTTTTTTCATTGAATTCTGAGTTTACATCTCAGAATTATGCCTTTTGTTTTTATTCTGAGTTTACATCTCGCAATTCTGTCTTTTTTTTTATTCTGAGTTTACATCTCGCAATTCTGTCTTTTTTTTTGGAATTCTGAGTTTACATATCACAGTTCTGTCTTTTTTTACGGAATTCTGAGTTTACATCTCGCAATTCTTTCTTTTTTACGGAATTCTGAGTTTACATCTCGCAATTCTGTCTTTTTTTCTCAGAATACTGAGTTTGCATCACATGATTGTCTCTTTTTCTTAAAAATCTGTTTACATATCACAAGTCTTACTTTTTTTTAATCTGAATTCTGAGATTACATCTCACAATTGTGCTTTTGTTTCCGCAACAAAATAAACATTTTAAAGAAATTGTGATAGAAATTGAGAGAAAAAGTTGCAGTTACCTTTTTAATTTTTATTTCAAGGTAAAAACAAGCTTCCATAGTTTGTTCTGTTTGATCTCTGCACTTTTGTGTTTTTTGTTTTTCCTTTGCAAAAAAAAAACTTTCTGTCTGACAACATAGTATGCGATTCATTCACTTCGCATTGAGAAAATGATTTAAAATGCTTGAACAAGAACTCCTCTCATTTTTAAATTTTTTAATACTTAAGTACAATTTAAAGTTGTTCTTTTTTACTTTCACTCAAATATGTTTTTGGCTAGATACTTGGACTTTTAATTGACCAAATAGTATAATTTTTTTAGTATTTTTAACATCCCTGATTTTGGGTAGTTGGAGTGTCTTTTAATGTATTTTATGTAAAGGTATTTTTTGGCTGTTTTCCTGCAAATCATATGTCATAATCTATTATCATTTATGTGGAAATGATGCAAAACGAGTGCGATATTTTCCTTAACAAAAAGCACAAATAAAGTGCTGTAAAACAGAAAAGCGTTTGTGGCATACAGATCTCAGCGCCCGTTGTTCTCACCACGCAGTCTGTTTAGCATAAATCTTTTTTTTTTTCAGGAGTAGTTCTCTTCCCACCTACTGTGATAAGTGGAGACTATGTAATAAGGCTGTTTGGTGTGAGTCACACACCCACGCTTTCCTCTGAGACCCTCCAAATCACTGCAGGCTTCAATTAGCAATACATGCCACAAAATGGCCGGCAGGTCAGGGGAGGATAAACGCACAACTCAGGTTTCACCCGGGACACTGACTATTTTGGGGTGGATTATATTAACTTCTTGTTTCCATGGATACCAGGGAGCTTTAGGAGACAGAAAGTACTTTAGTTTGGGAATTTATTTTCAATCTTGGCACCATGTTGCTATCCCAGATCAAAGTGTATTCCAGTGTACGGCACTCAGCTTTCACAGACCAATCAACAACCGACAGATAAATAATCTTGCTTGAAAATATATCACAATCCGGAAGGTGGTCACATATCTCAGTGATATTAGAGAATGAACAATTGCATTTGAACCTTTTAAACGAGTGTTTTATCTGCTCTCTTGTCTTGTAAAGATGGCATCGCTGGTACATCAGTGTAGAGCAAACCCATCAGACGCCTACGCTTCAAAATGGCTGGCAAGATTGAGACACATCAAGAGGATCAGGACACGGGTACGAGAGCTCATATATCTATCTATCTATGTAACTTTTGAATGTGAATATATATATATATATATATACACACAGTATATATACTGCCATTCAAAAGTTTGGGACCAGTAAGTTTTTTTTTATGTTTTTAAAGAAGTTTCATCTGCTCATCAAGGCTAAATTTATTTGAACAAAAATACAGAAAAAAAATGTAATATTGTGAAATATTATTGCAATTTAAAATAATGGCTTTCTATTTTAATATATTTTAAAATATAATTTATTCCTGTGATCAAAGCTGAATTTTCAGCATCATTACTCCAGCCTTCAGTGTCACATGATCTTCAGAAATCACTGTAATATGCTGATTTATTATCAGTGCTGGAAACAGTTGTGCTGCTCGAACTTTTTTTTTTCCCAGGATGCTTTGATGGATAAAAAGATAAAATAACAGCATTTATTTAAAAGCTTTTGGAACAATATACACTACCGTTTAAAAGTTTGGGGTCAGTAATTTGTATTTTTTTTGTTGAAAAAATTAATACTTCAGCAAGGATGTGTTAAACTGATAAAAAGTGATAGTAAAAATATTGTTAGAAATATTGTTAGATTGTTAGGGGAAAAAAAGTAACAGTTTTGATTGGTAGTCTCTATATACTGAATGAAATATATATATATTACTTGGAGGATGTTAACTATAAATATCTCTGTTTTCTCAATCAACAGGCTCAGGAAGAAATTCAGTCACGCCCCACTCACGGAATCTCTCTGACCCAAAGCCATGCCCCCATGCAGAATAAACCCGCCCACCAGCCCTCCGGCTCTGCTCCAAACCAGGATGCCGGCCAGAGGAAGAGGCTGGTGTCAACCATCGACGATTTCACAGACTTTGTCTAGCAAGAGACCCGTGACGTGTTTTTAACTGAGACCAATAGACGCTGCGTTCCCATCAGTCCAGACGAACATATCCGTTCCTGAATGCGGAGGGCAGTGAGGTTTGGTGTTAGTAAGATTTGATCACCTTTAAAACACCCCCAGTGTGCCAAGTAAGAGATCAGTTCAGCCGGGACGCAGCTTCACTCAACGCTGTGATTGTAGGAATGAATTTCACAATGCGCTGCTCCGTCTGCTGAAAGATGGATATAAACGCCCGCACTGGCTTTATCACATGCCATTTTTAGCAGTACGACTAAATTGCACACGGTTAACACGCTTTCGTGTCTCAGCCCATTTTCATCGACGTTTCTTTCTCTAGAACAAACTTGTATTCACACACTCATTTTCTCTTGTTGTTTTTCTCTGAATATATGAAAATGGTCTGTGATATTAACCGTCCAATCATTTTGCTTGTTTCCTGTTGTTTTCTTTGTGTGTGTGATGGTTAATGCTTATCTAATGAGTTTATAATAGTACAACAGATTTGCAGAACAACAGCTAGTACAGTAGACTGCATCAGACGTGTGTGCTTCGCTGCCAAATAAAACACTGAAATGTGCAAATCCTGCTGTTGTTCAGAGTCTACTTTCACTCTTGAGTAAAACCTCTACATACTTCTGTCAGCGTTTACTGTTGGTTATTTTTTATATATTGCACCTTTCTAAAACACAAGATTGCATTACAATGGAGCAAAATACATCTAGGGCTTCTGAAACATGAAATAGTTAACCCTGGCTTATTTCAAGTTTCACACTGCTCATAATGTACCCTGAGTAAACAATAAATCCTATTCATGACATGATGTTTCACACTACGTTCCTAAAACCCAGGTGAAGGTTCTTATTTGCATATTTGCGGTGTCATTGATTGGACGAACGCAGCACGTGATCTGTTTAACGGCTCTAGGTTTGGTGCCCTCATATAGCAGCCTACTGCCGACTGCACGAAGTTTTTCCTGAGTGGATTCTTCTGAATTTAAATGTAAGAAATGTACAAGTTTCACCATCACCATTAGACATTTTTCTCCTCAAACACTGAAACAACTATTTATACAATGCACGGCGTTTCCGTGACTGTCCAAAGCACGTGAACATGAGGCACGTGATTGGGTGTGTGTTGCTAAACTAGTCATAACATAGTTTCAAACTGTACAAGTTTGGCACAACAAACTCGCCGCTAGCCCTTCTCCGGAGCAAGGTTTCATAAACCCGGTAAAAAGTCGTGCTAACTCCGCTTCTAAATTATGTGAAACGTTCTTTTACCCGAAATTAAAAGCGTGCGTAATGAGTGTGAATAGCCCTTATATACAGGGTGAAAAAACCTTCACTATTAGTGTTGGGTAAGTTAAAACTCTAAAAATGTAATTAATTTCTAGCCACTATTACATCTTCAACAGTGTAATAAGGTTACTGTACTAATTGCTTTCTCTAAAAAGTATTGCATTACTTATTACTAATTGCTTATTAAATCAACGAGGATAGACATGAAACGGTTCTTTTAATTATTTCAAATAAATGATAAAAAACAGCATAATTGATTCTTGAACTGACCGAAGTATTTAAAGGGAGAAGCCAAGGTTACATTTAAAACATACATTTTAACATTCAATATTAATTTCTGATTTTAAATCTGCTGTTTTATATAGAATTGTTCTATAGTTTAATGCAGTTACATAAGTAACTAATAAAATCAAGAGAAACCCCTTACTTTACTTTTTCAAGGTAAATGTAATTAAATTACAGTGATTACTTAATCATGTGTTACACCCAACACTGACTGCTAACCTAAAACATTAGGAGCTAAAAGATGTAGTGTTTCAATTGTGATTTGAAAGACAAGAGAATGGTGAATCGATACCTTGAATTGAAGCCCCAGGGAAACCACAGACTCTCAGCTGTCAGACTCTAATTGCTTATTAAATCAACGAGGATAGACATGAAACGGTTCTTTTAATTATTTCAAATAAATGATAAAAAACAGCATAATTGATTCTTGAACTGACCGAAGTATTTAAAGGGAGAAGCCAAGGTTACATTTAAAACATACATTTTAACATTCAATATTAATTTCTGATTTTAAATCTGCTGTTTTATATAGAATTGTTCTATAGTTTAATGCAGTTACATAAGTAACTAATAAAATCAAGAGAAACCCCTTACTTTACTTTTTCAAGGTAAATGTAATTAAATTACAGTGATTACTTAATCATGTGTTACACCCAACACTGACTGCTAACCTAAAACATTAGGAGCTAAAAGATGTAGTGTTTCAGTTGTGATTTGAAAGACAAGAGAATGGTGAATCGATACCTTGAATTGAAGCCCCAGGGGAACCACAGACTCTCAGCTGTCAGACTCTTTATTTGACTTTGTCAAGTGCAAAAGCATGTAAAGCGAAGTGCTACAACGTTACAAGTACAACAGCACAATACAACACAAAATGGCAAACCTGCAATCAACACATTACCTTCAGCATTTAATACAAAATATTTAAGACTTTACAATATTGCATGCAAGTATGTTTTGGCACTTGTGACTGGTTTAAAATGGCAGACATGATTTTTTTTTTTGACACACCTAAAAGTATGATATATTTCAGCAGCAGTACTATCCTGCAAAGAACTACTAAAAAGCCATTATATTTTAAAATGACTGCTTGTGCTGTGTGTAGTTCTGTTGAAAATGTTACAAAAAACAGCAATGCTTTCATACTTTTTGGGTCTTATTTTTTTCCTTTGGCCAGTGCCAGGGAGAAATGAAATATGCAGCAAAGCATTTGTGTGAAATGAGTGTGCATACTGCGATCCATTTTGTGTACCGAAAAAGAAACAACAATTTCTGCTCAGTGCGGTTTAGGCAAACGAGATTAAAACAATGCAATCAAACCCGAAAACAATATTTACATCAGGGCACACCAATATGTACAGATAAACAAGACCTTTCAAAAACTCATCTGGAATGGCCTGAATAAGGACGTTACTGTAGTGGAAGTGACCTTTGACAGAATCAGAACTCCCTGTAGTGGATATTTTTGAGTGCTTAAGCATAACCTAATCATCAAATCACTCTCAACTACTCTAATTTCATTATACGAGACCTTAATACATGTATTATGATTAAAGCGGAAAAAAAACAACAAACAAACAAAATCCTGCTTTGGGTTTTTTAAAAATAGGGTCCCTGAGCATCATCACGGTAAACAACAATTTAGTACTTCACAAGAGACATTAAATCAACACATTGTAGAAACAAATACATGAAAATGAATGGTAATTACTATCCTGATGCAGCTCATGTATAATACTCAAAAGAGAATAGTTCTGGAAAGCCGTATGTGAAGAAATGTTACATACTAGTTTAAATATGGCAAAGCACTAATGCTTGACATTGAAATAAAGTGCTAAGTTCAAGAGAAACTTAAGTTAATCTTGTTACTTGAGTAGCAAGCTTTGGCAAAGTTATATGGAGAGTAATTCTGTTGTAACTATCTCTTATATTCGTACCAAGCTTATTTTATTATTTCTGCAAAACATTTTCCATAACACATTCAAACTAAATCACACTGATGCCATCACGATCATTCATATTATAACATTAATACAAAGTGCTTTTTAAATTAGATTTAAAATATCATAGAATGCAGCAACAAACACACTTCCATTTATCATAAGATGGTTTTTCATTCATTAACAATTTACTTTCAATAATAATGCTTTATGGAACCTTGTTTTTACCTGCAGGAATAACATATCCCCATACAGAGAATTCTGGGAGTTGAATGAGGGACATACCTTTGTCTTAATGATCTCTCAACATTTTCCTTACTTCACCTAACATTTCATGTCCTACTATTAACTTATTCCAATTTTTTGTCTCCCTTTAAATTCACACTTTCTGATACACTTCCCCTTCTCGGTTTTCGTTCTAATTTCATCCTCTCACTCGCCCTCTGGTCTATTTCGCTCTGAGAAACATCTGAATGGAGCTGACATGCAATTATGTCAGAGAAATATATTTGAAATCCTGAGGATTACTAGTTGTTTAGCACCCTGATGGCCTCTTCAGAAGTATGTTAGTGTGAGTGTACAAGTGTAAGTGAATAAATCATACAAGTCCATATATTTTCTGATATGTTTTTGTGTCTATTTTTCGCCCCTTGCCATTATATTAAGAAGCATGAATTATGCATAAGTACCTTGAAGCATAGCTCAATATTTATGTAATGGCATCAAATATGTACCTGCATGTCTAGGTGTTTTTATGTCTGTATGTGTGCAAGTTTGTCAGTGTGAGCCCTTTTTGAATAAGCTGTGCCTTTTCTGCATCGATGGGCAATACATACACCCATGACCTTAATATAGCTTCCTTCAACAACAATACAAAAAAAGAACATGATTCATCAAACATAACTAAAAACATTGTACAACAAATACCATCAAGCTTTAGCCATCCTGCATCAACAGGCGTGCTGTTGTAGTCCTTCATTGTCTCTTTCAAGAGTTTGTTCTGCACTGTGACAGCACAAGGTGTGCTCTTGTCGGTTTCAACTGTGTTGACCACCAGGGTCAAGAGGTTGGACTTGAGGTCACTGTGAAAGAAGAAGGAAAAGGGCATCTTGCATCAAGTAGAACTTCTTGAGGATTGTAGAAACCATGGTGACCTGCACCCAATTTCCATTTTGAGACTTCTAGTAAGGCGTTACCAATCGAAAGATGTGTGGGTTGGAACTTAAGGCTAAGGTGTATTATTTGGTTTTAAGCAACTAGTATTGCTTACGCTCTTCTTGAGGGCCTGGTTACAAAACCTGCTGTCGCCAGGTCCTCCTTTCTTCATGAAAAGCTGTAACCCTTGAGCTTTAACATTCCTTGAGTTCCTAAGCCTTATGACTGAATTCCTAATTCCTGCCTTTTACTTGTGTACTGACTGTTGGAACCTTGGGATCTCAAGGTTTGGGGTGTCCTGAGATAGGTCTGTCTGTGTTGGGGTGCACCTTGTTTTTAAGTGGGGGAGGTTTGTGCTTGCGTTTGCGGGTGGGATTCGTAGTAGTGTGTGCAGGGTGCCGGAATACACTGGAGGGAAGGTTCTCGCTGTTGCTGGGAGGAATCCACCCGTGGGAGCGAGGGATCGGTACGGGGGTAGTTATGGCAGAAACAGGAGCAGCTGAGGAAGCAGATGCTGGAGTGGGAACAGGGGTAGGGACAGGTTTGCTGGCACAGCCAGCAACCTCAGAATCCCTTTGGAAATTTGGGTCCACCTTGTTGAAGGTTCCTTTTACTTTATGAGAAGCTTTGTCAGACTTTTGGCCTCTGGGTGGACTACTGTCCCCCTCAGGTGGACGTGCTTTGAGGGGACCTGAATCCACCTTGTGAGAGTCTTTCTCAGTCATGCCAACATCTGCCACCACAGTACCAGGGGTTTCTTGACTCTTTTGGAGACTATCAGTCCTGTGGGGACTCGAGTCCACATTATTGATGCTTGTAGGAAGAGCACTTGTGATTTGTGAGAACGTGTCTGATTTCCTTGATCTTCGATCTCTCTTGTGAAGATTTCTCTCAGACGCAGATGCACTTATTTCAGTTCTCGGGGGATATTTACTACTCTCAGCCACTTGTGTGCTCCTGTCTGTCCCCTTGTATCTATGTCTCTTCTGTCCTGCAGACTCCAGACTTCTGTGGCGGCGCACCCCTCTGCCTCGTTCTCTACTCTTCCTCACCAGCCTCTCTAGGCGGCACTCTGTTCGATACAGTTCCTCTGTGGTGTGGGTGACCCGGTCCAGCTGCAGAAGCAAAGCATCAAAAGCTGGGAGGATTCTGCGGAGTGTTGCCTCCATCTCGGCTCTCTCTTTCCAGCCTTGGCCTCCAACTATCACCCCAAGGCCTGTGAGGCCTAGTCCCAGACCTGGGGCTTCAGCCAGACTACAAGGGCTGCTGGATGTGGGCCGCCAGGAGGCCTCAGATCTTCCGTCAACACTGTCAGGGGTTGGGGGAGCCTCAGGAGTGTCCAGAGGAGGAAGACACAAGGACTTGCAGTCACTAGTTGAAGAGGAACGTGAAGGAGGGAGCTCCATACCTTCAAATCGCACCTTGTGCCGGAACTGTCGGGGAAGAAAGGGATACAGGGTCAAGACAAGTGGTAATTTAAAGAGCAAATGTATGGGATGAAAGTTCAATCTGGAGGACTGGTGACTCAACATACTAAAGAGTTGGTAAGAAGCAAGTAGTAATTTTTCCAAAGCAACTTACTAGACACTTTTATAAAGACGATCTCCAGGGAGCAACCTGGGGTAAGGTGCCCTCAAGAGCACAATGTTAACATCTCATGGCTGGTTCTTTGGAGGGCTTGACCAGCAATACACCATTTACACTACCTGAGCTTTAACCACTATGGCACACCCAGAGTTAATAAGATCCCGCTTTATCAAGACCCTGTGTTTCAGGGGGAATCTTTTTGGTTGGCAAATTGCTTTGGATTAAAAGCATCTACTAATGTACTACCAATCTTCAGAAGGGAAAATGGGATCAGTGGATAATTGAGCTATTCAAGTTTGGTTAAAAAACAGTGAATAAACAACAAGTGCCTGAAGTATAATCATCAATTTGTGATTCTGTAAACCTACGTAGAGTTCATAACACATCAGATACTTGCAAGAAGACCTAATTCAAGACACGCTACATTGGTAAAAATTTATATTGCATAAAATAGCAGGGAATCTTGGGTATTATGGAAGTACACACACCTCTTTAACACGGCTGAGCCCCATCCACATTTTGAGGCGTCTCAGGAACAACTCCACCATTTCATAGTCCTGCAGGTCAACGGCTGGTCGGTACAGTTCTGCCCTTGCCCGATGATAGTTCCTTAGCAACGCCGAGATCAAAAGCCACAGCAAAACAAGTCTGAGGAGAGTGTAGCTAATGTGGAAGATGAAACAGGAAGCAGAACACGGGGAGGAGCCACTGTCCGGTCGCCATGACAACAGTCCACGCCCACTAGAGCTTAGTAACTTCAAGCAAGTAGAGCTAACAGTTCCATAGCCCTCCATGACAGAGTGGAAAAGCTAGAGGGGGAAAAGAGACAGTGCTTGTTTTAAGATTTTACTAAACTTTTTATAAATACGGTTCTGGTCTAAATCCAGAAAAGAAGTATTAAAGTTATTGATCAGAACAGACTGTTTTTAACGGATATAAAATGTTCACTAATGGCTCATAATTGACCCATTAAATATTTAGTAATATTTACCCATTAAATATAAGTCTCTTACATCTTCTTCATCATTTTGCACTTACTTATGTAAACAACCTATAACTTCTTGGAATTTGTATTTAATAATTCATGAAGAAGGAAAGGGTGGTATGTTCAGATCCAAACACAAACATGCATATGCTAATGTGCACATGGGCATAGACAACTGAACCCACAATACTTGAGCGGTTACCAGGGTATTATTAAGAAGAAGCTAAGGCACTGTTATGTGGTTGCTAAGGTGTAGTTGCTAAGCTAAAGTGATGGTTGCTTACTGGCCCCAAGTCAAAAACACCCACCCCAAATCTCTATAATACTCTGGTCTATGGTATTTTGCACCTGCTTTAAAAATTAAAAGCACAACTCTCCTTAACAAGCCACAAGATCTGAGCACAAATATGCCCTGATGTTTAATACATTAGGTTTGTGTGTTTGTTCAATTCCCTCTGTATGAGTAACAGCAATAGTGACTCTTGACTTGACAAACAACTAATAACAATACCCAGTTTATGCAGCTGGGTTTACAGAAGGTCACTTAGACATACCAAGTTTTACCTCCCTCTGTAGGAAATGTATAATTCAGGTAGAATCAAGGTCCTCGTACACTGTTATATGCACAGTTATACTCAAACATTCAGTTCAGATAAATCATAGACTGACGTCAAGGAGATGTACTGCTTTTATGAACTCATGTCCTTTATGCATCTAATAAATGTCTTTAATTATACTCGTTTCCTCTGCATTAGTAGGAAATTTGTTGATGCACGTAGGTCACCAGTATAATCATGGTGAAATGCGTTATTCATTTTCCATAAAAAAAAAACACTGACAGGTTTGTGTTTACCAAGGAATTATGAGCGCAAGTAGTTTAAATCATATTGCAGATGGTGTGCATCAGTGTGTGTGTGTGTCCTAACCAGGTGTCCAGTGTGCGAGTATGCCAACAGGAACACGAGTAGAGCGGCAGCAACTGTCAGCAGCTCCCAGAAAGATCTCCTTAGCGTTCTCCCGAAAAACCCCCATTCTCTCATGAAACGCAGCTGGTGTGATGCCTAAAAAGAGAGAAATGAAGTGGGTGATAGATAAATAATGCCTCGCCGGTTTGTATTTTCATACCATTAATTTTTGCAGAATTAAAGGTGTTGTATGTACTTTTTTATAAAAGTATATGGTATTATAAAATACCATAATATGTTTGCAGATATTTAGGAAACCTGCTAAGTTTAAAAACTTGTTTCTCTGAAAAACAATGCTACAGCCAGTTATTCTACTTTGAAATGTGCATTCCGTGTTGGAATGTCTGTTTTTGTTTTGGTCTTTGTGATTCCACTGCCAATTTACCCAATAGTATTTTGACACAGTGGGAAGCCAGTTAGTGGAAAACAGCGTGCTGCAGCCATGGAAGCCAGCAAACAAACTGGGTCAGAGACTGCAGATTCTACCTAACCTAAAAAGCCTCAGAATCCATCTGAAAGCTCTATGACTAGAGGCGTTTTAAATCGCATATAAATCAACTCATCAGCTTACAGTGTGAGGCTCGTCACCTTCCATTGTTAATTGCACTCGTTCCTCTTGCGTGTACTCAATCTGGCGAGCTGCGTGAGCATCGAGCCTGAATAGGAGGGGGAAGGAGAAACAACTCTCTCCAATATTCTGAATTTGGACTGGACCGCTAGCTGTCAATATTATATATGGAACCTTTAAATATTTAGTGATGTCTGGCCTGATGTGTACAGGAGAAGAACTTGAGGTGGGAATTTATAACATCGCAGGTGTGTGTCTGCATACAGTAGCTTTCATTTTGTTGTCCCGTACAAACTAATTAGCAGGACAGTCCCGTTGGAATAACCTGAGGTTAAGTGCCTTGCTCAAGGGCACAATGGTTCATTCTTCTAGTTATCAGTTCTGAACCTCAACTATTACACGTCACACTATTCCATATGTATAAGCACAGGATAAATTTAAAGTAGAGACTACCATTTATTAAGGCATGGCATTCTGTAGCTCAAACTGTAGAGCATGATTCTAGCAATGCCAAAGTTATGGGTTCGATTCCCATTTGCTCACCTTGAGAATCAGCAGGAAGAGCAGAGTCGCGCTGAGTTGGGTTAGAACCTGGTTCTGTTGAGCCAGAGGAAAAAAGTCCGTAAAAGTGTCCCGTTGTTGTAGAAATGACCCCCATTGGTGGGCGGAGAGTATGGAGCGACTCAGGTGTAGCATGGCGACACAAATCGCCAACAGCAGACTGCAAACACTTGCTACATTCCACAAACGCAGGAAATAGCCACGGCCCTGTTTCCAAGCAACCGCGCCCTCACGTACAGCAAAATAGATCACGAAGACCAGCAGAAGAAGCTGTGAGAGAAAGAGAGAACTTAATGAGCCCCTATCTTTTTTCAGACAGCAAAAATGAATTAAATAATGAGATCAGCTGAGTGTTTTGTGATTGGCTGACGGTTACCGTCAGGAACAGGGGAAGGTCAATGCCATGACTGAGCGTGTGAAGGCTGCAGGTTTTGAGGTCCAGACTCAACTGAGCATGCTCAGATACAGGAAACTCCAGCAGGAACGTGAAGACGGCCAACAGATCGGTGTTGATGTTATAGAGGGGAAACTCCACGAATAGAGCCCTGGTCCTGAACACAAACACAAAACATCAGAGGACGGTCTGTATATTTCACTTTAGTCAATTACTCTACTGTGTTAGTCTTAGTGTTCCTGTGGCTCAGTGGTAGAGCATTACGCAACAGCAGCGCAAAAGGTCGTGGGTTCGATTCCCAGGGAACACATACTGGTAAAAAATGTATAGCCTGAATGCACTGTAAGTCACTTTGGATAAAAGCGTCTGCTAAATGCATAAATTATTAAATTATTCTTAATTAAATTAAATTATTACTGGAATATAAAATACTGTATTAATATTTGTGCCATGCAATAATTGAGAAATCAGTAAATAAAATAATCGTGACATAATATAATATAATATAATAACATGTTTTACAAAAAAGACATTTTGCAATCAAAAAAATATTTGATTGATAAAAAACTAAAAAATTTTTTTTTACAAATAATTAAATTGCAAAAGAAATCTTTAAATAAAGCAATGAATTATGACATGCCTAAACAAGGAAAAAATACAATCTAATATAATACAATACAATATAATATAAAAAGTATACACGAAAAAAATATCATACATTTTCAAATCTATTATAACATTTTTTTGCTCATCAATCCGGTAATCAAAAAATATTTAATTATTAAAAACAAATAACTTATTGAAAATATTAAATCAATCATCTGGTAATCTAGCAATTATGAAAAAATTTAAAGTTATTTTCATTAGGTAATCATTACATGACTGATGATAACTGAATTTTTTGCTCAGTTTTGAGAAGCCAGTTGTTGTTCTTTCCTATAATTATCCACATTTATACAGCTTATGTTTGAGGAAATTGATTTGATCAATTTCCTTAAAGGCCTATTGTGTGGTGCAAATGAGTGTGCAATAAATAGTCCATATAAAACAACTTTCCTCCAAAACAATTTCCTCTGTCTTTTGTTGAGCATCTCGTCACTGATTAGAATGTATTGGCTGTATATATCAGTGCCTGTGTGTGAGGTTATACTCACAGCGGGTCGAGCCACTGGTGTGTGTTGAGTTGTTTGATCAGAGCTCTAGAGTCCTGCATGGTCCTGCTGAGATCCTGCACGAATCCAGTGTTGCTGTAGACAGACACCTGCCCCCAGTGCCACACACTACACACACATCAAACCTGCATGAGAACCTCACTGACATGTGGACGAGGCTCCAGAGTAGAGAAGACAAAACAACCAATAGAAACAAAGACAACCTCTGAACCAGAAGACCTGATCCAAGATCAGCCTGGGTCATGATTTATTCATCTAGAGATCTGTACAGACTGAACGGATGCTGATCCAGGAGAATGACAACCGTGAGATCAAAAGCCAAATTTGGATGACAATAGTTTTAAAAGTGGTGTCATGTAAGAACAAAGCTTTTTTAATCTTTTAGATTAAATTGCCTTGCCAATTGAAATTTGACCTTTTCCCAGCTGAATGAACTGAATGGTTTGCACAGGAGCTTCAACTCACAACTGACATTTCACTCTCTCGTGTAATGCATTCTGAGATTTTCAGTTTGGCCAAAAGGAAGACAAACGCATCATGTATCTCTTACCCGCTGCTCTCAGCTGTACTAATACTCCAGTTCTGCGTCAATCCTGAGGCTGACTCCGCCCACCTGGCCGAGACACACCCAAACCAAGAGGCTGCTGGGAAATAGCCAATGACGGGGCATTCTGGAAGACAGCAAGAAAGATGGGGGTCAAAGGTCATGAGTAATTCATCCATTCGTTTCCTAAGAATGTATTTAGTGAAAATTTCAATTAACAAGTTTGTTCGTCATTGAAGTGTATTCTGAACCTGTTACTCATCTAGCTTATATAAATGTGTCTTAGATGAAAAATCAATTCAGAAATCAAAATCAAATCAGTCAGAATGAAATACTCTGTCTCAGTCTGACATTATCGCTGCTTGAACACTCAATGTTCCTGTGAAAATGAAAGAACATTTCATCCATCTGCGAGTGCTGACCTCTCAATGACAGGAATGAAATCACGCACACGTTCTTTATACAGCCTTATGCAAATCCAGGAGCATGCGACCAAAAAAGGTAATAAAAGCATGAAATGAGCCATTTATGTACATAATGCTTTCCTGAAACAACAACATTCTGCTTACAAACTCGGCATTTGATCATTCACGGTTGCCTTTGATTTTCTTCTTAAATTGCCATTAATTTAATAGCCATTTATATAATGAATTACCACTAAAGAATAAGTTTCACTCTCTGACAGCAGGTGGCGCTTATGGAACAGTGGCGATATAGCGTTTCCTTGGTTACCGCTGTAAACAAAGCAGCGCTGCGCTTATATTACATGTATAATATTATATTATATTACATTATATTTGTTATATTTTATTATATTTTTATTTATTATATTATAATATATTTATATATTATTTTTGTCAAGCAACTGTGTTTATGTGCTGGTTGAGCACCTGGCTGATCTCTCAGCTGTCTGAGGCGGGGTCGACCTATCAGCAGGCTGCCCGTCTTCTCCATCAGGTCGGGCCCATCCAGTAACCGTGGTAACAGGGAGTCTGAGAGCCACGCCCACACATCCTCACGTCTGCAGACAGAAGATCAGACAAGTTAGAGACGTGCGAGTGAGTGTGTGTGTGTAACAAACGGTCTGTGACGCTTAGAGAGGCTCGTGGTGTGAAACAGCATCCACCTGTCGAAAACACTACGTCAGCATACTGTCAGCTCACCTCCTTCTGTCTGATATGATGCATCAACACACATACACACTTCTGTCAGATGTAGAGTCTGACCCGACAGATGGGTGAACAAGAGAAACTAAACAACATGGAAAGACTGTGAAAGTGTCCTCTTAGGCAGGATTCAGCAGTGCATGGTATCCTACAGAAAAATATGTTTGTTTCCGCCTCTGAAACAACGTTTGTGCTGACGTAACCAAGACAGCTTGTGTGCAGAAAATTAACATACAATATTATTTTAATAATAATATTAAGACGACCAATATTAATGTTTAATAATATTTATAAATGCTTTTATTTATCAATATTCACATTAATAAATATTTATATCAACATAATTAAATATTCATATTTATTCATTTTCACACTGATATCAATACAGCTATTAATATCATCAATATTCAAAATAATTTATAATACCAATAATAGTGACAATAATTAATATCAATACACTAATTATAAATTATAATTAATAAATACATTATTAATCAGCAAAAATGCTAATTAAAATGGTAAAAATGTAAATACTGATTAATATCAAATTATATTAAAATGTATTAGAACAGGAAAGATGCTGGCCTGCCAAAGCCTTGTCTAAAAAGTTTAAACAAGTTTGTAAAGGTTTATAGAATTTAATTATACTTTTTAAATTTCATTTTTTAAAGTTTAAAATCATCTTTTAATTCATCTATTATACATAGTTGTAAAACAAACTATTAATTATACATTATAATAACATACATACATACTGTACATAATAATAATTATAATAAAAAAAATATTATTAATTTAAATAATAATAATAATATTAAATTAGGTAAATTGTTATTACTTAATAATATAAACTTTGAAATTAATATTAATTAGAAATTATGTAACATTTATTAGAAAAGGGAAGTTTGTTAAGATGTTGGCTTGCCAAAGGCTTGTCTAAAAAGTTTAAACTTGATGAAAACCCTTTAAAATGTTGGTTTTACAGTCAGACAAGAAAAGCTTACACAGTCAGAACAGTCTTTAATCTCTAGTCTATCCCCTGTATTTGTTTGTAAAGCCAAATGAGCTACATCTGTGTGTGTGTGTGTGTGTGTGTGTGTCTGGTACCTGCTGATGTTGTTAAAGTGTTCTGTGAGAAAGTGTTCCTGCAGTTGAGTGTGCAGTCGTAGGCGATGGGCGTCTTTGGTCGAGTCTGAGTAGTTGAGCAGTAAAACCACCAGCAGGAACAGCATGTAGAGCAGGAAACCCTGTCGATCCGACACAAAACACATCTATTATTCAGACACCCACTCCTTCATATTCACGACTCACGAGCGGCTCTGTCACCGCGGGGAGAAACACACGTCAATCACAGCTCAGAGAGTCTAATGAAAAGAAGCCCTTTAATGTCCAACAGCCAATCAGAGTTTTCCTTGAAGTCCTTTGTTTCAAATCACAACCTGGCAATCACAGCGATGTTAATGGAGCACAGTATGGATGGCGGCTGTCAAATGTGACAAAGATGTCTTTCAATGGCTTTGTAATATGGGCTAATGCAGGTGTTGAAGCTATTTTGAAGCTAACAAAGGACTTCTAGGAAAACTATTGCGCTTTGACCAATTGATAAACTTTGAAATGAAGCTGTAATTCACTGTTGACTAAAATGAATCTGACTTTCCAGCGCTGTGATTGTCGTACCTTCAGCATGGTGTGCAGCAGGCGGACTTTGCGCGCCTCCTCTCGGGCCTGTGAGAGAGCGAACCCCTGCGGAGGCCTCACTCTCGGGATTCGCTGAACCACTCTCTCCACACGCGGACAGTCCACCAGAACATCCTGCTCTTCAGCTCTCAGACGGCCCACGACCAGAGAGAAATACACACTCTCCAACAACACCCATGGTGTGCAGCAGGCGGACCTTGCGCGCCTCCTCTCGGGCCTGTGAGAGAGCGAACCCCTGCGGCGGCCTGACTCGCGGGATCCGCTGAACCACTCTCTCCACACGCGGACAGTCCCCCAGAACATCCTGCTCTTCAGCTCTCAGACGGCCCACGACCAGAGAGAAATACACCCCCTCCGACAACACCTGAACACACACACAGAGCAGAATCAGCCAACACATCTGGACAAGAAACTTTTTTACTCTTGATCTTCATCTTCACATTTCCAGGACAACTTATTTCACAACGTATCATATCTGTCATCTATGGAAGCCCGTTTCTGCCACTGAATAAAAAATAAAAAAGCTAATTGCGACTTTTTATCTCGCAATTCTGACTTTTTTTCTCAGAATTGCGTGATATAAACTCGCAATTGCGAGTTAAAAAGTCACAATAACCTTTTTTTTAAAAATTATTATTCAGTGGCGGAAACGGGCTTCCATATTCATCCACGCAAGTTAGTTATTTATAATTATACACATTAATAAATATTAATAATAAAATAATAAATGTAAATTTTTATGATCAATATTCATATTTATTATTAATATCAATAATAATCACATTGATTCAACTTAACTATGCATTATAAATAATCATTTAATTAAATAACATATATAATATAATTATTTAAGTATAAGGCATTTGATAAATGTTAATATTTATTAGTATAACTTTATTTAGAAATTATTTAGAAAATAATATTAATGTTCATTTAAAAAATGAAAAGAAAATGTAAAACCTATTGCATCATATCCACATGAGTAAATGCAAATATTTATGAATATCAACATTAAAAATATTAATAGACAAATAAATGTTCATATGCATTTAATATTCATATGGATATCAATACTAATATGAATATTATGGATATTAAAAATTCATATATTGATATAAATACAAATAATCAAACTTAATAAATACATTATAATTTATTAGTTATAAGTAATAAATACATTATTCATTTAAATAATAATAATAATAACAAATCCAAATTTGTTACATGCTAATATTAATTAATTTTCATTAGAAATTTATATTAATACTCATTAAACAGAACAGTTTGTCAAGACAATCTCTTGACAATCTTGGCTTGCCGAAGTCTTGCCTGCAAGAAATAAGTGGAACTAATTTCACACAGTATCATTACTCCAGTGTTTATTTATGTTATTAACATTTATTTTTCTACACATCTTTTAAAGACACTACTAAAACTACAAAGCTCACTGAACCTTGGAAGGCAACTTTAATGATGATGAGCATTACTTCAAATCAAATGATTTGAAAGGTCATATTGATTCATTTATCCCTCCTGAAAAAAAAAAACCCTACATTGATCAGCTTACACAGGTTTGCTGGTAACAACAGGAATTCAAAAAAGAGCTTTCACACCAACCGAAAATATACTCAAATGTCAAAAAAACTCAGATCTATACCAAAAGCTTCATAAAGTGTGAAAAACTGCTGTCGTGTGTGTATGTACCTTCAGAGGTTCGAGAAGGAGGAATGACGACAGGAAACTGACAATGCAGGAGATGAGCCACATCAGAGCCACGCCCTCGCTGAAGCTCCGCCCCAACCACATTGATAGGCTGCTGGACAGGACAAGCCCCACCCAGCTGGCCCACAGAGCAGCCAATCCACACAGAGGAGGAAACGGCCTGGGCTTACACACATCCGTCACCACTGAGACGCATATAGAGAGAGAGACGTTCAGTTGTTTGTCTGTTTCTAAGGTAAAAGTGGTTTCAGAAGAGAGTGTGTGTGTGTACCTGTGCGTGATGTAAAGGCAGTTTTGGGAGGGTCTCGTCTAAATGCTGCACACGGAACAGGTTCATTCATCTTTTGCAGCAGAATCACCTCTGTTTTATCACCGAATATACTGGAGCTAAACACAAACAACTTTCATTCAGCAAGGACGCATTAAACTGATCAGTAAAGACATTCATAATGTTATAAAAGATTTCTATTTCAAATAAATGCTGTTCTTTTGAACTTTCTATTCATCAAAGAATCCTGAAAAAAGTGTCACACTTTCCACAAAAATAATAAATAACAAAAACTTTCAACATATCAGAACCATTATTAATAATTGAGCACCAATAATGATTGATCATTTAAATTGTAATAATATATCACAATATTACTGGTTTTACTGTATAATTTTTTTCATAAAAAAAACAAAAAACAAAGCAAAAAAAAACAAAAAACACAACCAATAAGAGACTTTTCAAAAACATTAAGAAAAAAACCTTTTGAATGATAGTGTATTTGTTATAAAAAAAAGTGTTTAAACAGACATTTTAATGAGGTGTTCATGCAACTGAAAGACAAAAAACTGAAGAATAACCACCAAATTTAGGATGAATCTGATGCCATTTCATTCACATGCACGACTTCACTACCTTAGTGTGCATCTGAAATTTCCCAGTCAATATTAATAAAAATATATTTTTTAAATTTCATCTTAATGAAACTTTTCTTGTTTTCCAAGCATCAAATTTAAGACCTCTGTGGACGCCATTCAAGATTTTTTTTTCTGTGCTATTCAAGACATTTTGTGGTCTTACCTTTTCAAAATAATGAATTTAAGACATTTTAATTGTTTTTAAGGATCCACCGACACCCTGAAGTACAGATGAGAAACTGCGGTGTGACTTACAGATCGCCCGTGTCACTGTCCGTCTGAGACAGCAGCTGTCCATCGGCCAGAATGCGCTTGATTAGATCCTCATCTGTCAATCAAAACCAGCATCCTGTCAACAACCATCTCTATTCTCTGACACAAGTACATACTAAGTATGCAAAAGATAAACACAAGTACAGGAGAGGAAAGAGGGCAGTGTGTCACCTGAAGAGGAGAAGTATTTGTTCCTGTGGCTGTTGTCACAGACGGTGTCCTCCTCGTCGGGACTGAAGGGAATGTCCACACCCAGATGTCTGCTGCCCTGACCTCTCTTGAGCCGAGGCGGGAACACCGGCCCCATCTCCACAGACGGGTCGGTCAACACATCCGGCCAATCACAGTCAGGAATGCTCCACCTCTGAAGACTACAGCAGAGATTCAGTCTGATTCGCTCACTGATTCACTTGCTCCTTCTCTCTTGTACTGACTCACATTCAATCATTCACTGACTCTTTGATTGACTTGCGCTCAATTCAATCACTTTTTGAATCATTCAGTCATTCACTCACTAATTCATTTACTCTGATTGATTCACACTCACTCGATCAGTCAATCACTGACTGTTTGATTCACTTACGCTCAATTCATTCACTTTCTGAATCATTCTTTCATTCAGTTATTTACTCACTAACTCATTCATAATCACACGTTCAGTCATTCCTTGATGCTTTTATTCACTTGCGTTCGATTCATTCATTCACTCACTAACTCATTCACTATGACTGATTCACACTCAGTCATTCACTGACTCTTTGATTCATTTTAATTCATTAAATTTTAAATCAGTCTCTTAGTCACTGACTAACTCATTCACTCCGATTCATTCATATTCACTCATTCAGTCTTTCATTTACTTTTTAACTCACTCACACTCACTTAATTCGTTCACTTTTTGAATCATTCACTTATTCAGTCATTCACACTCACTAACTCACGCCATGAATTGGTTTTCATTCACTTGTACATTTTCATTCAATCAGTCCTTTATTCAATCTCATTTATTAAATTAACTATGCATTAATTCCCACTGATTTGTTTTTTTTAATCAGTTTTTACCCACCACATATGGATTATTCAACATTGTTAAAAAAATATAATTAAAATAAATAAAAACAAACCCAACACAAAAATAATTCAACACCAGTTGTTTATTTATTCACTCTAGTGTTATTTTGGTATTATTTATATACTATTATAGTATGCATTAATATTTTGAAATAGCTTTTAATTTTTCGTTTTCAACTTAATTTTTAAGTTTTAGTCATTTTGATTTTTTTTTAATTTATCATCTAATATTATATTTTATTTCAGCTTTATTTAAATTAATGAAAACAAATTTTAATAGTTTTAGTTAACAGTAACAACACTGATTGACTCATTTAGTCATTTGTTCATTCTCACTCAATTAGGCTAGTTATTCACTCGTCTTGTATATTTCTTCAGACTGTCAATCTGTTCATCATGTTTTGCATTTTAATAAAAAACGGCTTGGAAATGTGACATTCGGTGACGGCTGTGACAGACTCAACTGCAGCACATTTAAATGTCATGAAGACGACAAAAGCACCTTTCAAGACTCAGACATTCATTTTCAAACCAGTTTATTTAGTTTGTCCTCCTAGCGCACCACAGAGAAATGCCAACAAATCAGCTATGACTTTGAGAAACATAATGAGAGGAAGGTCTTCGTGAAGGTTTCTCTCGGCCTTTGTGTTTCTGTGCATCAATTGGAACATGCAAACGAAGTATTCGGCAAACGCATTTCAATTTGCACGTCATGAAAGGAACGAGAGAAACACATCTGGGTCTCTGTCAGAAATTAATAAAAATACATGTATTGTATTCTCCCTTTGAATGACAGATACACTGGCATCAAAGTCTCAGGCAGAAACTGTTCAGTGACAGACTGTTATATACTGCAGCAAATAAATACATACATATTTTTAAATAAATAAATAATTATAAAAATACATATACATTAATTATTAATTATTATAATAATAAAAAAAAAAAATTTAATTAATAAAAAAAATTAAAAATAAATATATGAATAAATGAATGAACAGATATAAATATAAATGTAAAATATAGCAAAATATAAAAATGTAAAACGAATAAATAAATATAAAAATACATTTGATAAAAATAATTAAAATAAAGAAAAAGTAATTAATTAATTAAGAAATATTAAAATACTTTATATAATACTTTGTAAAAAATTTAAACAAAAATACAAATGCATATAAATACAAAAATAATGTTTTCTTCCCCACACATTTGTGCACAGTAAGTGATGTGTAAATGGAAAATGATGCAGAAGTACAAAGAAGCTGTACTAAGTAGGCTGTTAACAGTAATACTAATTCAATTAAGAATTATAAAAATACTTTAAATAATACTTTATATAAAAATAAATAAAAATTAATCAAAAGAACAAATATAAATCTACTTGTAACCAATCAAAACACAAACAAATAAATATAAAATTACTTATAAATAAACAAAAACAAATATAAAATTCATTTGAATATAAACAAACAAATAAATAACAGCTATTTTTAGTTAGTTAGTTAGTTAGTTAGTAGTGGTTTCTGTTTGTGGAGCAGTGGAAATCACAGTTATGTACTTCTCCAACCGAATTTGAACGTACCTCTCCAGGAATTCCATTCAGCATCAGAAAAGAGCTTCCTGTCAGTGAGTTATCCAGGAAGTCATCGATCTCTAAAGACTCCTGGTCCACCTGAGGAGGAAGCTGCTCCACAGAGACCTGACCGTCATTAACAGAGAAACAGCTCTTTCATTTACCACACCGCTGCGGTGATGTCTTTAGAGATGATTGTGTGTGTGTGTGTGTGTGTGTGTGTCTCACCTTACTGCGGCTGAGTCTAAACAGACAGAAGACGAGCAGGTAGACAGGATAGACCAGCAGACAGCTCACAAGCCCCACCCACAGCGTCTCCACATTCACAGAGACCACAGCAGACACCGGCGTAGAGCTAAAACACACAATCATACAATCAATCAATCATACTTTCTAACAGAATGTAATAGCTCAGTAAAGCATCATGAACGGCGCTGCTTTCACCTGTTGCCGTAGGAGACGGTGCCGTACCACACTGCGTTCGCCAGCATGCAGAGGTGCATGAGCAGCGTGCAGGAGGTCAGCCGCTGCAGCCGCGTGAAGGGGCTCCGCGGAGGTCGTTCCCATAGCGACAGCCACACGTGGCTCTCACACACGGCCCTCTGCAGCTCCCAGGACAGCAGCCGCGGCCAGTCACGCAGCTCCGCCTCCTCTGCACACAAGAAACACAGAGGTCACACAACAGGAAGCTTCTTAGCACAGGTTATCAGTTGACACTGGTGTGCGCTGCTCTTTCACTCGTTTGTGCGCAGTAAGTGACATGTTAATGGAACACCATGCAGAAGTAAACATCCGCTATACTAACCAGGCTGTTAACAGTAATACTAACTAGCTAACTAACTAGCAGCCCTCTCTGACTGAGCAGTGTTGGGTATAACACATTTCAAATAAAGCACACAAAAGAATTAGATTATGTTGTATGATCAAATTTGCACCATACCATCTAAGTTACTTTTTCAAATAAAAAAAATTACATTTATTTTTTACTAATTATTACAAATACAAAGCTATAATTTTTCAATATTTGTACCCTAAAACTCATGTGATCATTATTTAATATTAAAATGTCATTATAAAATATTTATTATACTTATTATTTCTTATTTTCTTATTTATATAGTACATAGAAATATATTTCTTATATAAATAGTATATAAATATATAAAAATGTATTTATATTATTTTATATTTATATATTTACATTCATTTTTATTATTCATATATATATGTCTTTTTTATTTATTATATATTTTATATATATTTTATTAATTCATAATATAATAAAATAATTCATATTAATTCATATATAATAAAAACAAATCTAAATATTTAAATATTTACAAAATATATATAAATTATATGTATCCTAAAACCCATGTGATATTTTCTTATATATACATTTTATATTTATAAATTAATATTTTTACATTAATTTATTATAATTCCTATACACACACACATGCACACAGTCATTTATATATATATATAACTAATTGTAATTAAAATTAAAATAACTAATTGTAACTAATTGTATCCTGCATTTTAGGTGAATAAAATTGTCTATTTATTATGGAGGGCCTGCATAAGGTTTACAGTTCATTAAAACTAATAACGTAATCTAATTCTTCTAATTAGAAGAAACAGATTACTGTTAATAGTAATTTTTGCAAACATTATGAGCAAACATGGAATTTAAAGGACTTAATTTCCACTTCTTAAAGCATTATTCTTTGCCCTTATTCTTCTAAATATTCATGACGTTATGCATCTAATTCCAGCGCCAACCAATCACAGCACAGTTGCTCTATCAGGGGAGGCGGGGCTTTACCTGAAGCTTCCACCTCTATCTCGACTCTGCCGTCCGTTTTCTCGTTGTCGACCGAGAGCCATTCCTCAACCAGGAAGAAATAACTGCTGCCCGTCTGTAAGTCCTTCACCAGGACGTACTGGAGCAGCCATGCAGGAGACAGACCTGACAGACAGACAGGTTTATCCTGACTGATCCGTCCCGCTCCACATTGCTAGTGTTGTTTATGCCAGATGTGTTCAGGTACCTTTGTTGTCGTGCCACACGCGGATCTTGAGCACGCTGCCCAGACTGCTGTCGGAGGCCATGTGGAAGATGTCCAGGCTGTTTCGAGCGAATGCGCCGATGCTGTCCAGGTGTCTGTGTCCACTGCGGCTCTCACTGCCGTGAAGACTGATGCCGACGTGAGCCGTGGTTCCTGCAGCGAGTATAAAGATGCTTGTGACTCCAGCCATCTCAGGCAAGACTACTGGCAGTCGTTCAGTGAGGCAATACCATTATGGGAAATATTCTTTGCTCTGGTGCATAATATTGATGAAAATTCATTCATCGAGACTGACAGTCTGTTGGAAACTGATCTGCTGTAAACAAACCAGCCTCTGACATCGCCAGGGTTATTATCGTCAACTAAAACTATTAAAAAAAACATTTTTGTTACTTGAAAATAAAGGTAATTTAAATAAAGTAAAACTTAAAAATTTAAATTAATTATTTTTATTGCTATTTCAGTTAGTGGCCAAAGAAAGATTTCTCATTTTAATATAGTTTAACTTCATGTACTAAAATAGCTAAATAAATAACAATTAATAAATAAAAATTAAATGAAAATAAATAAAATTGATATAGACATATATTTTGTAAAAAGACAAAAATACATTAATGAGGAAAAAAAATTAACTTAAATGATTTTAGCAAATGGCTGCAATATAACAAAGAGTGAAAAATTTAAGGGGGTCTGAATACTTTCCGTACCCACTGTATATATATAAAACTATAATAGTATATCCATTATACTAAAATAACACATACCATAAAAAATGGTACGTGTTACTGGAAATAAAATGAACATTAATTGAAAAAAAAAAAAAAAAACATTTTCAGTTAGTTCAAAGCAAAATTTCTCATTTGTGTACTAAAACTTGGTGTACTAAAATAAGTAAAACTGAAACGGAAATAAAAATGAATACAAACTAAACAGACATTTAAAAATGACAAAAACACACAACAAAATTACAAAAACTTCTAAATTAAAATTGAAAATACAAAAATAAAAACATATAATATTTGTTTATTTCACTAGGACTCTGTGCAATTTGAACCCCACGCTGATTTCCCTGGTGTTCAGGTTGGAGAATTTGTCGTGTTTAGCAAAAGAAAGCTGCTTTGTTTTAAAGTGACTTCTGTGTGAACTGTGCGTCACGTATCTACACTATTGATAATAGACAACGGCACGTTTTGCCTGCAAAATCTCACACATTAACAGACACCTTGACACAGTGACTCAGAACTAGTCAGTGGCTGGTCACTTTAACATGTCGATCGGACAGTTTCTTTCAGTCTAAGAGGACGGTCAGACTTTCCTAACCTGCGAAACATCTGCATCTCACCTGCTCCGTAAGCCCAGCCGGTCTTCACCTGGATCTCGTACTTGTACAGACCGTCCTTCCCACACAGCGGCACCACAGAGGCCCGTCTCAGGTCCATCTGATCCAGCTTGCGCATTATAGCACCGGCCACAGCGTAACACAGCAGTCCGATCACACACACCAGCACCACCACCAGACTACGAGCCACCGAACGCTCCTGACAGATGACACTGCATTACAACTATCCCTTAAACCATATCACATCATGATCATATCATAAACATTCAAATGTATACAATACATTTAAAATTAAAATGAAGAATATATTTTATATATATAATAAACTTACATAACTTCTCTGGAAAGAAAAAAGATTATTTTCAAACATATTATTTTATAAGAAAAAAATAATT